AACATGATCAAGCATCAGTGAGTCATCAAAGAGTCAATGCCTGATCAAGCAGCAGTCAGTCATCAGAGTCATTGCATGACTGAGAATCAATCAGTCATCAAAGCGTCAACGCATGACCAAGCATCAACTATTCATCACAGTCATCACATGATCAAGCATTTATCAGTCAGAGCCATCAGACGATGATCTTCAGTCATGAAAGAGTAAATGCATGATAAAGCATCAATCAGGGTCATCACTAGATCAAGTATCAATCATTCATCAACGAGTCATCAGTCATGATTAACAAGCCAACCAGGTATCACTTTTATGTCAATTTGACATCATGTCCAAAATTCTTGATGACTGCAAATGACTGAACTCCTAATTTTTCTTTATTTTGAATGTCTTTGTTGACTTTAATGCCTGCTGTTCATTTCTGGAGATCAATTGCGATCATTTGTTTTGATAGGACAGAATCCCACACAGTCAACTTTTTTCCATCATCCCCAAACTGGTCTAGATCTCTTCTTGAATTTATCTCTAGGGTACCAAACATCACCTATCAAGGATAAATGGCTCCATCAAAAGTTCCATACATCGTATGACAAATGCGGGGATATTCTTTCCTCCCCAGACAAGTCCATGCGGGCAGTGCAAGTCATGTTAGGTTGCATCCAATTTTGGCACTGCAGCCACTTCCCTGCAAAAGTGCCTCATTTGGAATCGAGCACTAGACACTTACCTTGGAGAGATAAAACACTACTGAGCGGTCAGTCTCTTCATAGCGCTGGATAACCCCTCCACTGTTTGCTACAGCCTTCAAACAAAATGGTCAACAAACATGATAAGAATATTGAAAAGGAACTAATATCTCAAATGTTCATACTAATCCACAGGCACATTCAAATTAGCCAGATGTTAGCATCAGTAACAATTTTGGTTGCAAGTATCAATTTTCACTCGGGCTGAAATTTGCCCTTTCTATTTAAAAATTCAATCCCAGATTATCTTTATTGTAATTTGCAGATCAGAGAGACGTAGCACAGATGTATGCCCCCCATTCATTTGTCAGACTTTCTTTTCTTAAACTGGTTTGTGCATATTTTTTCACCTTTTTTCTGCTTTCAGCTTCATACTTTTTAATTTATTTAATCACGATTAAAGGACATAAACTGTTAGCATATTTCCTCTGCCTAATTGTGGTTGAAATAGTTTCCATATGACGATAAGTTACACTTGTTGGCAACAAACTACCATTTTTTCTGATGATCGATCTGACACCAGTTTCACGAAAAGTGGCCCTCTCAGACACCAATTGATTTGATTTTCCGTGAGAGGTTGGCCAAAAATCTGAACTTTTCCTCTTGATGTGTGTTAAATGCATGCAGGCCTTAACCATAAATAACAGAACCTTATGTCAAATTGAACTGCGACTTCACAGATTTACTATTTGTGGATAGTACAAATTGGTGTGTACTTTCCATGCATGGCAATTTCTACAGAGACAACACACGGGACAGATGAGGCAGATGGATTCTTCCTCCACCATCCCCCCCCTCTCCCCGAAAACAAGAATTCCAGACAAGCATCTTCATGCCACGAAATGCAGAAAAACAGATTAAATTCAAATTCTGCCATGAAAACAGCATTATCGTATTCATCCATAAGCATGGCAGTGTATCAGAGTCCAATGGCATGCAACTTCTTTCGCATAATTCTGAACTGTGCTAGAACGAAGTTGATTACAATTAACTTTCATCCAAGGGCACGCTCAATCCTTTTGTCACACAGAGATACCTACATCATCGAGGTCTCTTTGCAAAGCTTTGTAGCCAGTGTAGAGCCCTACATCTACAATAGCCATTCCTGTTTCTTCCCCTCGCAAGTATCTGTCAAGAGAGAATGTACTTCAATAAAAGGTAACATTTCGGGGGCAAAAACATTTGATTGGTAGGTAGATTTACACCACGAAACGAACATTAGAAGAAAAAAGAAGGGAAAAGATCACGCTTTCAAATCATTTACATCTGACAAAATAGAAACCAACCAAACAAAACAAGCTGCAAATCCATGCAGGAAAAACAATGGAAACAGAGTACGAACCATACATCTCCAAAGCACATTTAACCCTTCAACGATGCCTAAAACTGATGAGAATGTTTTGGATTTGTTCAATCATGAAAGCGTGCGGCCCTTGACACATTTCACTGCAATGCAAAACCCCACACTCATCTTTCCACAGTGACTCTTAAACTGTAATTCATTTTAACGAGTTCAAGCAGGAGGATGTGCCTAATATACCCTTGGCAATTTTTGGTGAAAGAGCCTGAAGCCCTTGTAAATGCATCATGGTAATTTCCGAAGACAGCACAGGGTCACATGTATACTCCTCCTGATGCTTCAATGACTCGCATTGCTTTTGTGCACATACAGAGGCTTTGACTAGTCCCATGGAGGTTGCGAATGTTTGGATCCGTCCACCATGTGCTGGTGTGCCATCGCCAAATTTATAATCTCACTTATAAGATTTTTTCTCAGAGAGTAAAATGGGGCAATAGAATAAAGAGTGTTGCATAAAATACTGCATGAATATGCTCTATAAACTTCATTGTCATAAGTCTGGAACCAATGATTCACAACTGCTTTCATTATAAAGGTTCAACTTAGTTATAATGGTTCCTGCTGAGGTACTGTGCCATTTTAAAAAGTCAGGATTCTGTGCTCAAATATATTCCCACATCACCTTGGGCAAGTGCCTGGAGCACAGATACAACTTTCAACTAGCTACTGCTTTAAGGTCAAAAAGAAGAAAATGGCTACATCAAAATTTGGTGTCCAGAGTGAGGTTCACGTTCTCATTCCATTGGAAATACCTGAGGAAGTTTTAACAATAGGCTTGGCCATGGAAGCCCAGTTTGGACAGGGCAAAATACTTGGCAATCCTTCTCTTCGTACAACATACCTGACTTTGATATTGTACTGGAAGATGTACTCATTGCCCGAGCCGCCTGCACGGCCCCGGGGTGCCACAACAGTGGCACCTACGGCCCCTTCGTTTTCCTCCGCACCACTTCCCCGCTCCATGGCACTCCGTGCATGTATTCTCCCGACCCTCGACCTGCTGTCCCCGTCCTCAGGGTTGTTGTCTCCCCCTCCTCCTGGGCCACTGTCACCCGACTTGCCCTCTTGTCCATTGATGACCAGCTCAAAGTCACACTTTCTGTGGTCGGGCTCCGGGACATGGTAGCTTGACTCAAACTGTGAAGGGGCAGCAACCAGACCAAAATATCCCAATTTCATGTAATTGACTTTATTCACAGATGACCAGATTGAATTGAAAGCCAGGGTTATTTTTTCATTTTGCGAACCTAAAAGTAAGTACATGCATGCTGCCATCTGTTTACATTTTGCCAACCCGGTGCAAATTAAAATGCTCTGTAGGTCATTTGAGACTGTCAGGGAGACAACACATCATGCTCCCTGACTACTGAGTGATATGGGCTAGTCCATAGGCAATCGAACAGCGGTGTACAAAACAGTGATGTTATACAATACTTACTTTCATTTGACCCATGCCATTTCCCTGTGAGTCAAAGGTCACGACAAACTCTGAAACCGACTCCGGAAGCTGATAAAAAAGACAAAATTTCTCACAAATTACTCTTTTCTAAAGGAACAGTATAAAAAGGGAAGGAAATCCCTTTAACATACAAACTAAAAACAACATCCATAAAAAGTAATTTCTGGATCTTGCATTATTAATTATACATTTTGTATTGACTTACACTGAGTTGCGAGTGCTGTCTGATCATGGAGTTGTGGGGTTTCAGCAGGTAGCTTTCCTCAAAGTTACTCTCTTGGCAGGTCACATGGCAGTTGATGTCGACCGTGCTTTGGTCTGTCTGGATGGCGTATTCAGACAAAGCCTGCAGAGCGATGACTGTGTCCTAATTGACAAAAGACAGGACAATTTAATTCTTTCTTGCACAGTGTCATGTATCATCTATTATGTCTTTCATGTCTAGTCTATGGGGAGGTGTTAAGTTGTGAACTCCTGCATATGGCATCTTGGCAGGTTTTTTGCAGGTCTGGTAATCAGTTTAGGGCTGATGCTAAAACAAAGGGGAAGCCAAGGCATGTAGTCCCAATACAGAAATGAGAACCTTGATGGCCAAAGGAAAATGCCTCACATGAAATTTAAAAAAAATCCTGTTTTACTAACTTGGCCCCCTCTGAAACCAGGACATCATTTTAACCAGTGACATCATCTGCTAAATCAATTAAAGCTTCTATCAAAACCGCTGGTGATCAGTCCATTCTTATTGTAATTGTCTGCCCATCTACTGCTGCACAGTGACCCACAAAGATCAAGACTACCCTTTGAACTGCAGGGTTCCTACCTCCGTACTAGATTTTGGATTTGCACTTATTCAGGTGTTTCAAGCCCAGTTTCAGTAAATGGAAAATGTGGTTTCATAAATTTACAAAACTAGTAGTTAACTTCAAAGATGACATGAGCTGAGAAAACTATAGGCATACTCCACATGCTTTTCAGCCAAGTGATAGTAACAGTAGTGACTGGGGTCTACAACTTAAACAGTAATAAAGAATTAATTCTTGAATGGCCTGGCTAAAAACTCAAGTTCAGGTGCTGAACTCAAGTTTTCTGATAAATGAGAATTCATGACATGGTTAGCCAAGTGGGCCTACCTGTGTGGATACAAAGCCGCCTTCATAGTTCTCCTGATTGGTCAGCCAGTTGATGATGGCATGGGTGTACTGGATTTCGTTCTGCTGCAGCAGTGCCAGCACCGCATAGCTCGTCGTCTCGACCTCAATGGCTTTGGGGCGGTTGCTGTACCAGTAGGGCTTGGGGCCAGCACCGAAGGATGAATCATCAGATCCCCAGTGGCGGGTATTGGTTGCTGCAACAAGCAAGAGGCAACGGGAAATTTTGAGACATTTGGTGGGGACAAACATACCACTCCTTGTTACCAGTTCTGAGCATGCATCTCAAAGTCTTCCATTCGTGAATTACCTTTTCATCTTGGTATCTTTTTGTGAGCAAATCTCTAGTATTTGTAATCGAAAAGAAGGAGCAAGATCACAGGCTGATGAGATATCCACAAAAAATCCAGCGATAACAATGAAATACTTTGCCTCTTCATGTAATTATTAAAATAGCTAACAAGGCATGAAGCTCTCTAACAAAAGCTATGATTAAGTGAAGCTTGCACTTGGTTTAATTAACAAAGTGCTTCGTATGAATCTGGTAATTCACAGTTTGGGAGGGGGGAATCCAGAATGCAGAACAGCCACTTCCATTGACGTGTACATTAATTCAGACACAAGCTCAGACAATCGTTCCAATGGATTTGATCAGAGGGGTTTCTAGAGTGCCTATTGAGCACCTCAAATATTTCTTAACCATTGTTGGTACGACATGCTGTCATGAAAGTGCAGTTAACAATATAAACATCTTAATTATGACACCCTAATTTTAACTTCAAGAAGACTATGGCACTGCTGAGGTCGAGTCCACAAGTCCAACACAGCCACCCAGTTTTAAAGGACTTGGCACAAAAGCATTCCTAGATAATTGTTAAATCTCTCACTTGTGGCTGGCCAAGTGAGCAGCCTCAACTACAACACTAGAAAGTTTGACTACCACTTTTCCAAATGCCAGCTAGAGACCCTTCCCTCACTGACCTTCATCATATATGGCGATGCCTTTCAGCTTCTGTATCGCCCTGCCTGCCTTGCCGCTTCCGGCCAGTGCCAGAGCATACGATGTGATGGCGATGGCATAGGGACGGGTCAGGGCTATCAACTGCCCCTCCAGGAACGAGGTGGCATTGGCAACGGATGCATTCTTAGCCTGGGAAATGCAAGAAGGAAATGTTGGGGAGGACCTCATTAAGCAAGGGGCACATTAAGACTTTACCCTCTAGCACCCTCAAACAACCTCGAGGTAAGCCTCAAGTTACTGCCAGTTTAATTTTACAATCTCCCCTTGTAATTCCCACAAGGGTGCTGCTTTACCAACAGTCTGTATGTAAAGAAATGCTGATGAAATTTGAAAAGAGAATTATTTTAAAGGGAATAAGTATGTGCTTGGCAGGTCTTAAACGTGCATTTAAGACCATGCCAGCTCAGGAGAATGGCCACGACTAATTAGCAGCGGGCAAAGGCATTATCAACATTCATGATCTCCTGAGCCGGTCTTAACCTAATGTTTAAGAACGGCCAAGCACATATCTATGCCCATTCATAAGCACCTTTTTAAGTAAGGGAGTCAAAAGTAGTCAATATATGATAGATTTCCAATGATTTTGTACTCGAATTATACTTTTATTTTCCCCAACACCCCCTGTCCCATTTATGGTATATTCCTTTCGCAGTTTGTCCAAAGAATCTCCTTACATGGACTTGGCATGCACGTGGTGAGCCACGTGCACAGACTCTAGACCAATCAGAATCAATTAAACTGTCTCGCATCCATGTGCCAGTGTGTGATTTACGCAGTGGGCATAATCACTTCTCTGTGGGCATTATCAAATGTAATACACGGTCAAGTTCCACATTGTTGAATAGGGAAACTGTCTGAAATATTGATAAACAGTCTTTTACAGATATGTGAGGGGATAATATTGTGGCCTCTCGATTGTGTGACAAAGTACATCCCCCCCAGAAAGCATTTCTTCTTCATTCATGGATATGCCATGGATTACCACTAGCCTAAATTCTGAGCAGATGTTAAAACCTAAGAGGGAATCTTCATCGATCACTTGATTACAAATGTATGTACAGGGTACATGCCTGTGTGCAGGATCAAGTAGACAGAATGCAGGTAAAGTTCTTGTTCATGATTTTTGGGTAGCCTAGACTGGTTAACTTTACCACTTCTTTTTGAGGATCTGTTTACAGTACATTTGGAGTTTCAAACAAGTATGGATTTTTTTTTTCATTAAATATCTGGAAGACTATGGTACTTTTCAGAGCAGAATATGGACAAGTTTTTTGTAATGACAGAATTTCAAGTAAACAGGAGGGGACCATTGAACACTCTGAAAATGTCACACTTACCACTGTCTGGCAATTACATTCTAAAAGTGAGATCAGAACATAGGCAGTCAAAGAGACATCGCCTTGGACTCCGCCCTAAAAGAATATGGGAAAAAAGGAGTTTTCTATCAAAAGCTCGAAACAAAAATAGCATTCCTTGGACCAAAAACAGTATGTGGCTTTACAATAGAAGATGAAGAGACATGAAAACGGGGCAGATATGATTCTTAAGGCCATATTTTTTGGTAATTCTGTTTATTTCCAATGAGAAAGACATGCAGTTCTTTGTTCAATGTATTGTCTATTTTGGCATTCTGATGCAAATGGACAATGGGTAATGAATTATGTCCTCGGTTCACCTAGATTTACACATGTAAGATTTTCAATCATCAGTTGCTGTAGCGACTTGTGAGTCACTTTACTAGCTTGGGTTACAGAATGCTAGAATGCCTTTACTGGCCATTAACCATGTGAAGATGCTGCTAAACAGGTCCTCCAAGTTCCCAAGACAATTTTAATTTCAAAACAGTCCTCTTAAAGGCCTGTGCATAGTCCGTGAGAGACAGTGTTATTACAGGAAACACATTTCTTTGTCCTCTGGGATACCGGTACAGCAAAACACCAGTATGGGTGGGTAATTGGCCTTCACCAAAAATGAGGGGGTAATTTCTTGTAATAAAAGTCAAGACCATGTTGTTGGGAAAAAAGTCCCTATGACTCTTTGGTCCTCACAACACGTATGTTTCAAGAAATGTGCGGAACAAGTATGGTTCTACCAGCGAGTGTGAAGACACTAAATGTGTCTTGCTACTTACCGTCATTTCAAGGTGATGCACTCTGTAGATTTCTCTGAAGTAGCCTTCATCCCTCTGTGTCTGGGTTATCAGCCACTCCATGGCCTGACACGTAATGGCGTCGTCAACGAAAGTAAACTCCCTGGCCTGACACATGACCTTGCTGACAAACGCTGTCAACCTAAGTCATTGAGAGACAACCACCAACTTGACTTTGAGCTTCGTGTTGAGGCATAGATGATACTTGGCCTGGTATTAACCAGAATTGATACGATTCTGCAAGTGACCTGTCCGTTGTTTTTTAGTACAAACACTGGCCGCAAGTTTGTGTGGACAGCCACAGCTTGCAGAAAGTTGAACCTGGATGGCAAGAACTTTTGCCAAAAATTGTACATTTTCTTTAATCATAAGATAATTGTAATGATAGTTATCAACACTGAACAAACACTGTACATTCAAGAGTTGTTTGTGGGTATGTGGGCTTTAAAAAAAAAAATCATTAGTGCACAATTAATTTACATCGATTGCGGGATTGTTTTCTACACGTTAAAATGCAGCTGGTACAGAGAATGATTTGATTCACCGTGCCAAAGCCTGTAAACCGCAAGTAGGCTATGTACCCAGGACCTTTTAATATGTAGGAACAAAATTGAGAGGCAATGATGGGTATTACTCTTTCAGTGGATTTTAAGATGCAGATTTACATGTACACTGACCATGTACTGCTAGGATACGCCGAGTTGCTTCCCCAGACAGAAAAGGAGCCATTAGATCGACGATGGGCCAGCTGATTGGCGATACCTGAAAATAATAAACATGGGGAGAAAGGTCGATAAGACTGGCTGTGAAATGGACACGTTGTCCCTATGAATGGTCTCAGGTCAGTCTGTGCCCAAACTGGACAACAAAATGACAAATATTTGTAGCATTCTGAAGGCCTTCTTTTTCAAAAAAAAGTCAGACTTTTGCTGCGCAGCTTCAGAATACCAAAACATCTCAACATTTTCATTTAATTCAAAGGTTGACTATGTAGGGAAATAATGATTATGCATAGCATCATCAAACCATGTTGCAACACTGTAAATTAAAATAAAAGGGAAAAAACCACATGTACAAGCTCAAATCAGTTTGGTATTTTAGACATAGGGGCACCCTAGGGTTGCAGAGCAAATGATCTGTGGCCTGCTCAAAGGGTCTGTGCATGTCGAAATGTCAAATGGGGGACAACTAAAGGCTTTGACTTCTGCTGGGGAGCATATGTCCCCATGCATGTGCCTCTTCTGTGGTTAGATCTCCGGAATCTGAAAGCCCACAGGCAGATGATCTGCTCACCGTCTCCGATGTACTGTTGTGCGGCAATCTCGTGCGTTGCCGTGAACTGATCGGTGTGCTTGAGATACCGGTAGATGTACACATTTGGGGCCAGGTTGAGCATCGTCTGCTCCCCACAGCCACGGGGGATTCGCAACAGGTTGTCCAGGCCTCCAAGCACCGTCTCAATGACGCTGCCCATCGTGTTCCCTGTTGAAAGGTTGTCGAAACTGATAAAAGTCATTTCGTGGCAGGATGTCAAAGATGGAGGACCACAGAGGACTTTTGGGGTGGAAAGAGGGGGGTTGATTGATGACATTCCTGAAGGAGCATGAACAGGATCTTTTCAGTGTTAGGAAACAGACATGTCAGAATTAATTGGCTACTGTAAGCATTCCACACGTGTCTATTGAAAATAGCTGCAGCTATTTGCTGAGTTTTTCCATTATTTCCCTTTGCAAATAAGGAATAGACCTTCTCAGACCTGCTAACATGCCGTACTCCTTCCTGAGGCCAGGCATTACCACACAATGGATTAAAGTTTTAACTCATGTAAATTAACACTCATTTCAATACCTTTTAATCTATTGTGTGGTAATACCTGACCTCAGAAAGGAGTACGGCTAGGTTGGCAGGCCTGCCTTCTTCAAGTATTCACAAAGAAGCCATTTTTCTATCATGTTCCTTGAAATCGTCCTTTTGTAACGTACATTGCCATCTGTCAAATCGGGTGGAGTCACGCTATTTTCGGTTCCATGCGTCAAATTCAGTTCTTTTAAACAACACTTAAGCACTTTGATAAAATACTTATTCACAAATGGTTCATTATCATTGTAAATGAAATTGATCTGTAAGGAACTTTCATTTTATTGATTTCATTGTGAAAACAAGGTTCCAAAATAAACCTCGCTTTCATTCGATACGGCCAACTTGTCAATAATACACTGATTGCACAAGCTAAGTCACGTGACCTATGGTGGGTATCAAATATCGACAACTATGGCATCCTTCCATAGAAAAAAGTGTCATAAGAGTTGTTTACCAAAAACAATGCCGATGTCAGTAAAGCGCTCAGTACATCAGTAGTTGAAGTACTTTGCTGACCATTGGCTTTATACTTTGTAAATGGCACTTCTGATGCACTCTGCTACTTGAGGACGTTACATGTTTACTGATGTTTAATACCCACTGTAGGTCACGTGACTTAGTGTGCACAATCGGTCTATGCAATTTGAACCAGTCCATATGTCTTTTTTTTCCACAGGGTGCAACAAGACACCTACCCATGAGGCTGAAATGGACTTGATGGGTGTTGGGGATGGCCTGGTTGCTGAGTTGATAGCGGATGATGTCCACTTGCTTGCTCTCACTAGCCCCACCCCAGAATTCTGCAACAAAGCAATGCGGCGGCTTCAAAGTGAATTCTCAGGTATGTGCCAGCATTTCAGGGTAAACAATACAACAAAGGGACATTTTTGCTGCAATTCAGTTGTAAAAGCCTGTGACTTAATCCTGACCAGAAGTACATGTACTGTAATGAACTCATGACGGTCTTGGGGGGTTTTTGAAGATCTTAATGGGTCTTCACTAAGACGCTGGCATACGTAAATGCACAGAAAGCCTTCCCCCCCCAAAAAAAAAAAACAGCTTAAGTTCAAAATACATCAGACTGAGTAAAAATAACTGTTGCAATTTGTTGCCATTTCTCAGTTCAGACATAAGTCATTCCAGGAAAGTCAGTCAGCAACAAAGTCAACACTTCTTCACTATCTTCCGTGCTGGCCGGCTATAGTGATAATGTCTTTGGACCTTTGGCAAGTTGTTGTTTTAATTACCAGAAATGAAAAACAATTTGATTCTAATGCACACTAGCACAGTTTAAGTAACTAATTAAAAACCATTAAACTGAGCCTTGGTGTACTTTTGCAAAACCTATTCCACAAATGGCCAATTACGAAATTCACTCACGAGTGTGTTGGAAGGACTGATTTCGTCCTCCGGCTAGGGTCCTTCGAGGAGAGCTGCGGCTGTTTTCTGGATCAACCATTATTGTGACAGTGTCCCTCTGTTTGTAGCCTTCTGACTGTATGATAGAATGAACATTTTCCATACAGTGGCATACAATAGACCTATAGCATAACAACATCACACTTAGCTTATACGTACACTTTTCCTATGGCAGTAAAGTTGGACACGCACATGTTAAAAAAAATGAGATGTTCTTATATTTTATGGTCTATTACATGTATAAATGTACACAACTACATGTACATGTAAAAGGATGGCTTCAAGTTTCCTTCAGGACAAAATAAGGTCCAATCTGTGCCTTAGTCAGTACTGCAGTGTGGGCAAGATTCTTTGACCAAATATTTGGAGGTTTTATGTGTTTAATGACAATTTTTGTTTTCCACAGTACTCTGAGAATGTGTGCAGTTTTCTCAACCACAAAACAAACCTCAGGCAATTAAGCTTGCCTTGCCATTATGTGATTTTTCTATCTACCTCTAAAATTTAACCACGGTTTCCTGATGATACACTTGTTAAAAATCGGCTAATTAAAAGCCGCCTTTTTCTTCACCTATCTTTTATGTAGTGGTTTGTTTGCTGTAGCATTGGGTATAAGGGGGAAACAAGCCAAGTGCAGTCCTGTGATCGTACTTGATGCTTGAACTCACCCGAACATTGAGTGACTTCCTGACAGCGTCTCTGTAATTCACTGTGGTAGAGTTAGTGATGGCAACGACTTCAATGGGCACGGCACCGGCTTCTAGAGGCACAACCACAAACTTGACAGAGGCTGGCTTCTTGGGGCGGGCCTCAATGGATATGCGGTTGGAGTATCCTCCAGCCCGGGCTTCTGAGCACAGACCCTCAACACCTTTCAAATAAACATCGACCTAGACAAAAAAAGACGTGTCATATTCAGTCATGTTAGAAAGTATCTTCCCCAAATAAAACGTGCTAACTAGACCAATTTTTCAAAATGTTATTCAGTGTTTTTTTCATCTACTTTCTCCGTCATTGTTTTGAATTTATAAACCATTTTGCCACCCTCAAAATCGTTGTCATTCCTGCTTTTAAATCTGTATCCCTTCGCATCATACCATCTAGGCTGTACCTCACTTGGCTACGCAACAGTGTGTTATCATGCATGTGGTGTCACCACCGTCTCCTAGTTTGTCACTGCTGAAAGGCGATATAAAGGTCAGGGAGCCAATCAGAACAGTGCTTCCACTGAGCAAGGAACATGTTGACAGTCCATCGTGGATTCACTTATTGCAACACTCAACCATCAGTGCACCAATGACCACCTCAATGGTAAAAGTGGCAGCATATTTCTATGTATGCATGTACCTGCAAGACAACATCGGCATAGTTGAACACAGACACCAGGATTTCTATCTGCTCAAGTCGTTGGACTGCATACGGCATATTGATATCAAGGAAGAACGGAGGGCGGACTTCTAGCTTGATTGGATCGGCGACACACATCTGATAGTCTTCAGACACTCCAACAGCTTCAATGACCCAGGTGGTGACAGAGTCAGGCAGGGTTACAGGGTGACGCACCATCAAGTTTTCCCTGAGAGATAAAGGTTACTGAAAGATTACTTGTCTCAATATGAATATGCGATTACGCCGGGGAAAAGATGCTTATTTCGGATATGTATATGAGATAACAAAAGCAATGTACAAACAGGAATCATTTTGAAAACTCAGAAATGGTAATTTTCATCCAATTTGGTGTCTGTGATCTGTCCTGGAGTGCGTGCTTGAGTCGCTGGATCACACACTGTTGCAAGAGATTTACAAATGTCACGGCAGACATAATATTAACCAGACAAAAATGTGAACCTCGAATTTACCCAGTCTCTTCCCATCAAAAATCTAACAAAAAGAGCATCAAATTTAATAAGGTGGGACAGACCAGTTGCTTGACTGTAGAGTTTTTAAGTTTGTATTCTGGCAGGTTTGTTCAGGTTTTGATCCAATTTACATGCAATTGGCACCTACAACTACATTTACACCGTTGAGTTAAAAGTAGAATTACTTACTCGGTGTCCACCTGCTCAAACATCCAGCTCTCAGGGAAGTTGGTTCGCACCACAACATTTTCAAGATCCACCTGGCTGCTACCTCCAGGCCCCGGGCCAGTGAACCTCCCACGAGCAACTCTGTCAAGCTCCTCGCAACAACCCAGGAAAACTCTAATTTCCCGTGAGGTGAGGGCTAGGCCGTTGCGCTTAGCAAAGCGCTTGGTGCGTTGAGCACAAGTCATGCTGTTTGGGTTCTTCAGCTGTCTCAACCCTTTTTCACAGTAATGCCTGTCATCAGGATCTTGGTGTTTATTCACTGTGAATAGGCACACATGAGAACAATCTGATTGGTATAACACTCGACGAAGACCAACAATGCTTGGGTGGAAAAACATTTACTAATTCACAATCCCAAATTTAATTGAAAACATTTGTGACTCGACGCAACAAATTGATTTTGAAGTTGCAAAAGTATGAGACCTTTAAAAGCACTATGCACAATGTAAACAAAGGGAAAAACTCAACGCTGTTCACTCCCTGAAATAAAGGGTTCATGAGGACGCCAAACTGATCAATGACATATCCAAACAAAGAGCGCTGTTTGCTCTTGCTGTACAAACCAAATTACTGGGAAAAACTGTCTGAATATAGATGCACTTTTTGTGAAGTTTGATGTTTTTCTCCAATGTATGAAACCAATTTGACATTCTCTAAGGATTAACTGCATTGAATAACTGGGGTTAACTCTTTTTTTAAAATATGCTAACACTATAAATCCTTTTTCAGACAAACACTGTTGCTGTGATGTCAATCAGGGAAGACGCTGTTCCATTTCGATGTATTTTTTTTTAAATATGCATTTGAGGGTTGCTGACTGGCTTACTGTCATGTACTCACTCAGCATTTACTTATCAAGGAAAAGAAAATAAGGATAATGTGTAGTAAATCTTTCAATTTATCAGGAAGATTTTTCAAACCTGCTGAGGCTGACAATATTTGTGAAACATGAAAAGAGTATAGACTCATCTTTGCTACATTACCGTCACACAGCTACCAGTTACTTCCCAAGAGAAGAATAAAGACATTGAAAATATGGTACTCCGTGCTCTTGATGCTATCGAAACATACAGAGCATTTTGATGTAATGCTGTTGCCAGTAAGATAAGGACTTTCTACAAACATTCACCATCAACAGAGAAAGGAAGTCAATGTTTACGAAAAAGAAAGGTTTTCGACATTGAATTATAACCTAAGGACTTTCAACTGTTTTTTTAACTGTAGCATACGGATTTTGTCCAGATCTGTCTCAGTAATAGATCTTCGTGTTCTCTTGGCATCTACAGGACAGCCCAGAGCTGTAAAATAAATGAAACAAGTGCCAACATGGTGAGGGAACAAGCTATGTCACTGTCTGCTGGTGTGACATGAAAGGTGGGAATGCCTACTAACATTTACATGCAATTTACATCCATCCATTTTACAAACAAGCAGCGTGAACAAGATTGATTCAAACAGGGGTGTGAGTGGCCACTTAAAGCTGAAAACAGCTCGCAAAAAAGTAACAAGTTTCCATACTTTTGTACAAACCAGGTGTACAAACAAGCTGAAATACAGGGTCAACATCGAAAGCAAAAAAGCTGAAATCAGCTGAAAAGCCGAATTCTCACACCCCTGTTCAAAGTTGACTGCACATTTATTTCTGTATTTCCTCCCTTCCCCTATACACTACTTTTATCACGATATATTCCTCCCAAAAACATCTTATCTAGGGAAGGGGAAGCCCCCCTCAGCTCAGTCAACAGTTTAGAGAACGGTTCCAAGCCTCCAATTAAAACCAGGAGACATAAGCTGTGGTGTGTTTGGGCGGTCATGACCAAGCATTGGTTCGGTTGTTTCTCTTTGGTTTACTCTGTGGGTCTGAGTACTGCATAATTCTTACCCAATTAAAATTGCTAAAGAAAATCTCTGAACCAGCTCTTGGTTATGACTGCTAAAACACACCTCTGATCTTGGCAAAAAACCTCATCCAGAACCAGAAACATACAGTATAGGTCAACAAAAAATGGAAACCCAAAATTATTCCTCCTTCAAACATGACACTCAAAAAGCTACATTATTCAGACGATCTCACACTGGGGTGGGGGGTGGGATATTCCACCCACCCAGAACTCAGCTCTCCCATGATCAATATATTTAAAACTTTGCATGCCTGTAAAAATGCAAGGTTTGTGCTCAAATGTATCCTTTCAGTCATTTGAAGTTCAAGGCCGAAGAAGTGCCAGCCTGTGTGCATTGAGCATAGCAGTAGAAAATATACATTTCGGTTTAATGCGTCTCAGAAAAATTGGTGCTGCACAAGGATGGTATGTCTGGTTTTCACAAACCTGGTGCCAAATAGCTGCACAAAGTGCTCAGGGCTTGGCTTGAGGAAATATTCAGTGCAGCGATATCTGAAAAAAAGGTTGAGGGGCGGATTCTGCACCCCCTCGGCTCTTCAAGGGTTGACAAATATGTTACATGAAGTTTATTTCTTTGTAATAGATGCACACAAACGTTATCCATGAATGTTAATCTTGGCCAGAAAATGCAACTTCATAAAAATTTTTCATAGGTTTTGAAACGTGGTATTTCCTCGGTGTATCTTGCAACAGTTGTCAAAATAACAATCTGCATACCTTCTCTCTGTGGAACTTCCAGATCAGTGTTAGTCATCACCGTCACTCCAGCATCCTAAAACCAGTCACAGTATTTTATGATTTTATGATTTTATCTTCATGACTGAATTTGCATACAAAACCTTTGACGAAAACATACATTATTGTAAACATACACCCAGAATGCAAAATATATGAGCCAAACAGTCAACTTTTTTAAAAGGTCCCACAAATGCCAAAAATAAAAATAAGTTAACAGAACTCATGACAACACGCTTTAATTGGAGCTAAAATGTTAATGACATTGTAAACTAACATTCATTGCCCCAGAAAAAAACCTAAATGACTGGTATTTAGTACTAGCATGTGTGAATGATACCTGCATGTGTACAAGCTCTGACGAATAAAAAAATAAACTCTGGAATTACCATTTAAATTTGCAAATACATGTTCATCAGCTATTTATGAGCTGTATTATGCATAATGCAAAAAACTGTAGACTGGAATTAGGAACAGATGAAAATGAACGTACAGAAGTGAAAAAGGGGAAAAATATTAACCTTGAAGATTTTTGCTGTTGTTTGGCCACCTCCTGGTCCACAGCCCAGATCGTAACCAGCCATTCTTTTAAATACCTGCAGAAACATAAATTGACAATCAATGATTTCTTTTAGATGTAAGTCTTTTCCATTAGGTACATGTAAATTTTCTTTATGTTTATGCTCTCAAGCATGTTGGCCCGTGCAGAAGGCAAAACTCTACAGAAAAAGTTTAAAAGTTTGGCCTACCTCTCTTACAAAAGACACTTTATGGGAACAGTAAGTCTGATTCATAATGGCTGCCAGACATCTTTGGCAAGGCTAGATTATCAAACGGCTCAGTAGGCACTGTGCCTAGATCCAATGGAACAGTAATGGATCTAAAACAATTTGAATTTTACTGAAACTGAAATTTCAAAATTTGAAAAGCTTTAACTTACTATAATGCAGACTACCAAAGTGTGATGTCAGTTTAAACCAGAAAGTGTAGTGCATAGGTGGGGTACTTGCGTTGATTCATACACTGGTTCTCACGCTAATGCTTTTTACACATGTAACTGTGCGTGTGCCAATTCACTGGTACTCTATATTAGTGCTACAGCTTATTCTACTTAGCATGAAATGTGAGACTCTGGTGGTTCCCTCTGCTCATGGCTCTACAAAATTGGTGCCGGTGATAAAAGCCCGGTTTGGTTCACATGCATCTAGATCTTGATCCGTGATCCTGGAGCTGGTTCGCACAATCAATTAGGTGGGTTCTGGTGTCAGTGAACCAACGACAGATCACTGATCGCATTCCAGATCCGTGTGAAACAAGCAGGCCCTATGACCGAGTATGCAGGCTTGGGGAACACTGTTGCATAGGTTCTATGGAACATTCAGTCCGGCCCTGATCTCTGGAGACTAATAGCTCATGGCTCAGCACAGTAAACTCAACTGCGACAACACTGGGAAAAGTGCAAGGGGGAAGACGGGGGAAGGGTGTGGGCAGTGGTGTTTCCTGGCTCCTTTGTTGCCTTAAATCTTGATTTCAGCTCTACCTTCTTTTGAGTAAGGCGGTGATAATTGCGCAGGGTGAAGACAGCTTCATCCACTGCCAACAGACCAACATTGGTGTACTCGTTAGCAGAAATCTGCAACTCAACATTCTTGTCGCTCCCGTCTGTTTTGAAGATCTGTTCGTCATCCTTGGGAACTTTCGGGAGGCCACCGAATTCTAAATGAATCTTTAAAAAAATGGTAATAAAATATAAATATCAACACCACAGGAAAGAAAATTTGAAATTTGTAATGAAAAAATAATATATAAGAGACTTTGGGTATCTCACATCGAAAAACATGACATTCAAGATTGACAGGTAAAAATGTCACGGATCAACCCTAAATCTTTGACCAACTCACTTTGATTCATTTCTGTGAATTATCTTCTGAGAAATCACTTCATGAATCAAACTGTTAACCATATTCATATGGTTAATTTTTTGGCACATGCTGAGAAGAACAAAAAAACTCTATGAGCCAATTTGCAAACTTGCATAACAATATTGGATTTTATAGTGACAATTTTCCTTCCGCGGTGATCACTGGGTAAGCCTTAATTAGTAACTTGGAGATACGAGTAATTTTATTTTACTGATGAGATTGAATTCACATGTATCAGTTATGGGGACATCCCGCCTATAAAATGTATTTAACGTACAGCATACAGAGACTAAATCATAGACAGGTATTGAAAGCCACCACTGCAGTGGTACACACTCTCGACTAGGAGATGTGCACATGTTGCATGCCTTATAGGTGTTGTAAATCGCCTAAAGGGGGTGCGTGTCAAGGGCAAGCATACAAGAGTACATGTACATGTAAGTGTGATCTGATGCCACTGCTGTCATGGCATCTCCTCAGATTATTCTATTTGTGCGTGCCTGACCAGTACACTTGATAAACTTATCCACTACAAATGAAAAAATGAAGATGAATTTCAATCGGAACACAGGGCTCCTATTTGAAAACATTACACTTTAGTCAATAAGCCATTTGCGAGTTAAATTTGAATAAAATCTGATACACTGAGTTCTTTAAATTCACGTGAACATAACAACTTGAATTCTCCATACTAAAACCACTGTTGCTATATACTTCGTGATTCGGGGCAAGCGTTTTCTTAGTTACGTAAGAGACGCCTTGCATCAATACACTGTTCTCAACGGTAAAGAATCAGTAGCACTGGTCCCTGTTAAGCCCTCCACTGATGATACAGTCCAGTTTATTGATGATCTTTTGTTCAGCTGCTTCTCTCTGCATCCTGTCCTTGAATGCCCTTTGTTGTAGTACTGCAACTGTTAATTGGCTAACTGAGTGGCCTGGGAGGTTGAAGTGTTCAGCAACAGGTTTTTCTGTGTTTTTATTCCTGATGTCAAACTTGTGGCTATTCATGCGTTGCCTTAGGGATTGTCCAGTTTGTCCAATGTAGACAGCAGTGGGGCAAAGTTTGCAGTTCTAAACGGATAATAAACGGCACAAAGGAACCGGTCCATTCCAGAGATGGTGGTTGCTATGCAAAAGTTTGCCCCAAATCACGAGGTATAGCAACAATGTCCTTAGAATTCATATTATTCCTTTTCTATGCGATCAGATAACACAGTGTACCAGATTTTATTCAAATTAAACTCGCAAGTGACTAATTTACTCTTGCATTCGCAAAGCTAAGATGCTAAGTGCAATGAGTTGTGCCACTTACGGGATTTTCGCAGGTCTCTTTGACTTCAAAGAAAAGCCCGTCAGCGATGATGTCTCCAGATGTGCTAGCATAATATGCGACAACACGCGAAGACGGTGCCATGTCCTGGGTGATCCGTAACCCCAGCCCCATGTTGGCGTTGATGTTCTCATCTTTGGTTCCCTTATGTACAATCTTTCCACCCGCAATGACCTATCAAAGTTGACATGATATCCAGGGCAAATTCAGTAGTGCAACAGGTATGCCAGTTGATGGGAAACATACGTGTACAAAAACTTGTGTTATTGGTGAACCTGACTGAGTACTTCATTATGTTAGGGATGGGCATAGAACTCGGCTACACGAAAATGGAACTGTTGAGCTCATTATATTGGAAACCTGTTTCAAATGAGGGTATAAGTACTCCTGACCAAACTTTGCAAATAATGATAGTATACCCTTTTCAGACAGCAAGAAAGAAGTAATTTGAACTTCTGTGGTGAAATGTAAAAATGGTTTCAGGAAGATGAAATATGCTCAAAATGCTTACAGGATATTTTGGGACAAAGGTCAAAAACTACCTGACAAAAAAGAAGACGAATCTCAAGATTCTTAAACTTACAAAGTAGTGGAGAGTTTCAACATTTTCAGGATGTGTCAAAAGCACATCAATATTGCTTGTCCATCCAATCTAAAAACATAAAGAATCAAATTAAAAGTGAGTCCACAACTAAATATAGTATATACATGTAATATGTGTGGCTTTTTACACAAGGGATTGAAGGTTTTTTGCAAACCATTTTTGGTCAGGACGAAAATGCAGTTGGCCTGGAATACTGGTGACTCCAGCCATTGGCATTTCCCACCTTTTTGTGGGGGGGAGGGGAGACTTTTCCATGGGTAAAGCTCTCGATCAGCAGCATTTTCAAGCAACTTGGTAGTTTTCCTCTCTTTTACGTTTCTCTTCCTTTAAATTCTCTTTTCTTGTTTTTTTTTTTTTTTCTTTTTGTTTTTTTTCGGGGGGGGGAGGGGAGTGCCACTCTTGTGTTCCCTTCTCTCAATGCCCATGGGTCCACGCCTACCCTGTGTTATATATAATCCACTGCTTCATATATATTCACCTGTTGTGTCTGTGAGTTTCCTCCCGAAGATGGAAGTCGCACCAGCAGATACTCTCCGTTGCTTGACTCTTGGGGCAGGACAGTGAATGAACCCTGGCTCTGGGTGCTTAAATTAGGATCGTTGGTCTCAGCCTGTAAAAAATCAGGAACCACAAAGAACATTCACTGGCTCATATCTCTGATAAATCACAGTTGGGGGCAGAGGCGTTTTTTACACTGACAGACTTACCATGATATGGCTTTTATGAACTCTGACAAGACAATGTCGCGGAACAGTATTTGCTATAACACATTCTCAATGTCAGAGACTACAAAGGCTTGAACATCTGGGTGTGTATAAACTCAATGGGAATCACAAGTATAGCCATCACATGTACAGAATTCACCAGAACATACTGATTAAGTCCTCTGTGTAACGACACAGAAAACCCTACATGTATGTGTAATTCAGACACCATCCAGTGTAAAGAGGTTCACCAGGATATATTAACCTTGCCAAAAGAAGTCCACCTATATAATAAAGGAAAATAAACAAATACTCATACTCAGAAATTTACTGAATGACAAAAAACAAACATCTTCCAGCTTAGCACATTGTCATCATGCCGGTTGTGTTTAAGGGCTGTGGTTCAGTCATTGTCACAAGTACAAGCAGGAACATGGGCAAAGGAATGGCTTTGTCAAAGCTCATCTTCACAGCTTGCCAGTTGGCACACAGGCTTAAATTAAGAAAGAATGGCTTGTGTTGGACTTTCATGGAGTTGCAAGGACCTGTGATGCACTTGACCACATCCTTTGTCAATATCAAGGCTTTCATGACTGCTCCAGTTTTCTGTTTCTTTGTGGGGCCATCCCTTCATGGTAATTACTTACACGGATGGTGATCAGTTTTGTGTCAGCGGGTACCTCCAGCCTGAAATCCACCTCCCCTTGAGTACTAGACACCTTGTGGAGACTTTGCCCGGCATTACTGGCCCCCAAAAGAACCTGATCTCCATCGTCAAGCTCAGCAGTAGCTGACACACTAACAGTGATTCCAGCAGCTGGCAGGCCGCTCATGTACTGGACACTGGCCTTGAGGGGAAAACAAATTTACAGACCTTGTGAAAAATGGTCTGCAAAGCACTGCGTTCCAAAAGTATCCATAAGCACAGCACGCTTCAATATGATATCTATTCACATTTTCTATAATATTTATTGTTAAGAAAACAAATCAAAGTCTTTAAGAATATAAAATATAATAATCGATGTATGTCATACACTGCATTTGGTATGGAAACACTGACTTTGCAGGGGGCTAGTCCCGTATTCTTTTGCCATCATTTAACAAACATGTGAGCTATTCATCAACAATTATACAGTCAGGATTAGTATAGACAAATCCAACAACCAAAATTAGAAGTCACGCGCTGGCACCTGGATAAAAAGACAGTTTAATCAATTCTGATTGGTCAAGACACTGTGAGCATGTAGCTCGCCATCCGCGCACCAATCGGACAATTTGCACATAGACTATTCCATAAAATGGACAGGGGTGTTTGGGAATATGAAAGTGAAACTCCATGACAAAATTGCTGGATATCCATCATGCTTTGACTTCTTTTGATTTTCTGACTAAACAGGTATTTATAAATGGGAATAACTATGTGCTTGGCCGGTCTTAAACTAATAGCTCATAAGACTGAATGCTGATAACACCTTTGCCCGCGGCTCGGGCATCAGTCATGACCATTCTCCTGAGCCGGTCTTAATCACACTTTTAAGACCAGCCAAGCACATACTTATTCCCTTATGTATGTATGTACCACCAACAAAGGGCATAGCAGCAGTAGGCCTACATAAACGCCTGGCGGCTCTCATCAACAGATTTGTCCACACAAGACAAATATCAATCACCTTCACAGCAAAAGGCAGTCCCTTCTTGAAGTACTTCTGGGTGCGATCCCAGTTGAACTTGTAGGGGGTCTGACTGAAGATCACCATGGTGTTGTTGACACTGACAGTCTCGCCCGAGGCCTTTTCTGTGACAATTGCCTGGATGATCAGGCGCTTGCCTATCAGTGCCTCTGCCCAGTTCTGAAGTGTCACATCGGCCATTACCAGTACTGGGTAGGCTCTACCTTCTTCACCTAACTAATTAAAAAAATGATTGAAAATTCACATACTTCAGGTTCTCTTTTTATTTTTCTCTAATGCCAAGTTCAGGGGTTGTAACACACAATGTCATCACTTCACACCTGAGGTCATGCTTGTATGATCTTTTCAGAGACACATTTGGCAGCTTAAATCATGTTCCCTGACTTTCTAGGAGTAGATGTAAATATGTACATGAATAAAACTCTCATCTTCAATTGATTTTGTTAATTGGAGGTAGACAATGGGTCAAATATAAAACTTGGCTGGACATGGACTCGGCTCATCACCAGAGCTAGTGTCACTCTGTACAGAGGGGCCTCAGAGTGTTGCAAAATATGGAATTAAGGTGAGTTGTATTGCATAACAAGCAAAACTCTCAACAGTCAACATTTGTGGTATGAACAATATCCACTAGTCCTCACTTTGATTTGTAAGATATTACATGTATTTCCTTACCCGGCCTTGCTTTCGCTGGAGAATTGTCAGGTTTCCATCATCAGTGTACACCCCGTACTTCACGAGATAATTCCCAACCACGGGCTCACCAAAGGTGTACCTACAAAAAGATAAAGTCAACAGTCAATTAGTAGCTTGCATGAACTACAAAGACATGCCAGAGGGGGTATTATCTTTATATATACGGTTATTGGCCCTACAGCAATATATACACTGAAAAAAATTCACACGCTTACTCCAGTGGGACGCACTCCCAACACCCCCTTCTGAAAAAATGTTCTGCAGGCTGCGTGCCAAATATGGGCAGATGGGTTGGGGGGAAGCAAAGAGGACCATGCCTCCCCCAAACATTTTTCCTTTTCGTAAAACAATGAAAGACAGCTATTTCATTTCCTTTTCGTCCAAGAGCATGTAAAAACCCCCCAAAACTTATCCTCACCCCTCAGAAAAGCCATGGATATTCTCAAAACTTTTTGACCCCAGTCCCTAAAAGTTTGGCCCTCAACCCAACCTTATTTGTGAGGTATATACTTCCCAGAGAGGTCAAAAGCAATAACAGTGAATGCCATACCTCGCTTTCACATAGGTAGTCAGCTTCCTTGTTTCTGGTATGATATATTTATTCTGGGTGCTAACTTCAACACTAAATTTGGGCAGAACTGCAATTTAAAAGTAATACATGAATGTTGAAGACAGAGTTATCTATATACGGCAATTTGACCTGCAATGGTAAAACAGTTGTACAAGAGGCGAAGAAAACGAACTCCAAAATTCAATGCTATTTCCTGAAATGTTTTAGGGCTTGTAATAGGTAAGGGTTTAATTTCTTGGTTAATCAAATTTTGACAATTTATAAACTAACATTCTGATTTTGGTCTTAAATATTAAAAAAATGTAACAGCAGACGATTAGAACTGGAACAAAACATGAACAAAACTTCACACACACTGTTTCTTTTATCAGCTGAGAATTTCCACTGCCAATGTATATACAGATGATTTCCGAGCTTAGCAGAACTGTGGGCATGTATATAAGGCTTTATCATACTCCTTAACTTCAAACTAGCATAAGGCTTACCATACTCCTTAACTTCAAACTGGACGGACGTATTCGCCTTGAACTGCAAGAAAACCAATGTGTAATGTTAGCAGATCATATAGGCTTCAGATGGGCCTCCCTTGTTGACACTCTCAATCTCCTTAATTTAACCCTTTCGTTAGAATTCACTGGGAAGAACAGATATGTAAACCAAAGAGTCCTACTTTTTTCCCCCTGTTAGCCGTCTCCTTACAAGCTCACACCTATAACTCCCATCTAGTCCTTTTTCTAACCCTATTGCTGTATCTACAAAATCTGATGTCTTTGGTCATTATTGAGCCTCTCCAAAGTCCTAACTATGGGTTTGGATCAGAGCTGGAATCGAGTCATCAGCTGCAAGTCAATCACATGTAAGTTCACTAACTGGCTCGGAACTAAATTGTGAATTGAAAAAAAAAATTGAAAATTTCATTGGGTTGACATGAGTTGCTCTTAATTATATTTGGTTCGGCATGACTCTGGCACGCCTGTCTGAAACAGGTTATATAGGACTCTGACTGGATTGTGTTGACTTGTAATGAATTGTAACTGACTTGATTACAACTGGTGTGGATTTTCTACAGTTCTTGGGAAATAAATCATTTATATCAGGGTAAAAACCTGAAGAACAGCATATGCATTCCTTCAAACACACACTATGTGGAAAGTGGAAACTCAACATCGTAAGTGTTTATGCACTTATAAAAGTGCTTGGGGATATTTGTCTATAGTGCTTCACTATGGCACAGCGTGACTAATTTACAGGCCTCACAAACTAAAATCCCTCCACTTTTGGTAAAAGTCATTAAAATGGCAAGTACTGCCCCAACCTGATGCCCATAGTGAGCACGAACTGTCCAATTTCCGAAGACAGGCAGTGGTGGGAAGGTAAACTCGAGGTTCAGGAAGCCCCCATTCGGTATCTCCTCATAACGATAGACGATGATCTGATCCGGATTCAGGATGTCCACTTTTAGCTATATTTAAAAAAAGAGAATTCAAACAATGTGAAAGAATTCATCAAATCTTCAAGAAGTCTGAAGGCTGGCTTACAGGTACACACACTTGCAATTTTATTTAAAAATACACTTCACCTGTGGCAAATTACACTGCAAATGTTTCATGCAGTAAAATTTGGTTAGCTCTCGCTTTCTTCTGGAGTATGAACCGGCCTTAATTCCAAAAACCAAACATGGTGCATTCATCATTAAATGCTAGAGATACAGCATTCAAAGGCAGAGTTTTATTCCAATGTTTTCGACAGGGGATAAACTGAAAGCAGACTTGAATTGTGTGGAAGCGAAAAGTTACATTGTAGGCCCCACTGAATAGACACGAATAATTAATTTTGGATTTTTTGCCCTACCCGACATGTATTTTAATACTGTATACTCTGTGTTTGCCCCGGAAGACTTGTGAAAAACCACAAACGTACTCGGGTGGGACTCGAACCCAAGACCTCCTGCTTATTAGTGCAAACATCTTAACCACTCGACCACCGGGCTTGCCGGTGTCAAATCAGATGTAGCAACAGATACTGCGAACAACTATTTCAAAAATCTTTGAAAGAGACACAAATACCAACAAATTTTGGAAATCATCCGAGTGCACTCAAATTTGAAAATTCTAAATCTACAGTAAAAGCACATGTGCACAAGATGGCAAAATTGCAGTCCAACTTTACCGACCACAGAGCTCAGAGACAAAACTAACACTATAGGTGACTCACCTGGTGATAGGCGGGACGCATTTTTTGATTGAGAGCAACAACACGGATGTTCACTGCCAATAAAGCACATGAGCAGAAACATTACAAGTGAAAATTGCAGTGAGTCATATGTGTTAAACAAGTATGCACTGGAGAACTTCTAAGAAGCAAATTAACTTTTACCTTATGGATAGACAAATCAAAGAAGTCACAACCTCTTATTGATTCACTTTTGTTCACTTAACTAATTCACAGAACAGAAAAGTAACCTGTTTTGAGGCAGCAAAAACCCTCCCTTATTACCAATTAAGCATGGCTATATTCCTTGAAGAAGAGTCTTCATATCTTCAACTAAAATATATATAACCTTGTTTGGGTGTGTCCTTCCTCGGCTTTATTCCTTTAAGAAGAGTCTTCACATCTTCAACTAAAATATATATAGCCTTGTTTGGGTGTGTCCTTCCTTGTACTGCTTTCTACAGATATGTTTGTAATTCTCTTTTTCATTTATATACACTTAATCCAATTAGAAGTCAATGGTAAAAACAGGCAAAGGAAGTAAAAAGAAAATGCAAGTGCAACAATGGTGGTATTTAGGTGTCAGGCATTCTCTGAACCCTCACTTTTACATGTTAGCATCAACATCAGCCATTTTTAATGACTGGGTGCAAAATTCCCCAAGATATTCGGAACATATACTGACCAAGTTTAACAAAGAAACATACCAAGAACTAGTGACTCATTGCTTATCCTATCACGGAAGCTAATAACTTGATGAAATGAACTTAAAGATTGGTTATGCACCCTCTCACTTGTGCATGGCAGTTAAAAGAAGCAAGCAAAAACAAAAACCAACAAAACTGAGGTGGAACACTCAATTACCTTTTTGGCTGGGCGTGTACAATGGCTTATCTGTCTGAATGAAGACAAAACCGGACTGGTAGCTGAGTAGGATGGTGCGTCGATCATTGATCTGGAGTTGTGCAGTATTGGCCGTGGCGAACAGTGTGATGAACTGCTGCTTGCTAGTATCCTCCTGGGGTAACTGGTCTCGCCGGATCTGCAGGGTGACCTCTTGAGGGGCACCTGTGTTTTGAATGAACAATCTACATGTAGTTTGGCAGGATCAACACCAAGATAACTGGTGTTCAGGCACAAAACCATACAAAATTCTGTTGGCGAATTCAGATACATAATCACTAAAGATCAAAGTAATGAGCATTTGCTGGTTCAGCACTGCAATAATATCGATCAAATGCCCGTTTTTTTTTCCAAAAAGGTTTTTACTAAGTTCTGTTTACTTCTGTATTGTTCATCTTGATCTTTTGGTTTTGTTTTGCTAAAATCAGTTTTGTTTTTAAAACCACATGCTACAGGCAGTCCCCAAGAATAAATGTACTATGTCTTTTAGATGAGAGCCAATAGACATCTAACCTCAAACAAATTACTGCTGTGGGAAATGATGCAAACCTATAAGGACATCTCACAGGACGCTGACTATGCATTTTTATACCCCTTTGATGTGGCTGGGGAACAGCTGTGAGTTTGGATATATAAAAATTTTCCTTCTGCCAATTTTATAGAAAAGTACATCTTGGTCTGGTTCATGGTGGGTGAATTTAGATGTCAAGGTTGTTTTTGGACTGGTGCCAAAATGTTAAATTGAATTTGGACAAGTAAATGGCTTGACGTGACAATCACTGACGATGAGGCATGGCTGAATGTAACCTCATCAACAGTTTTGGATAGTACCTTTCGAGACCCAGATCGTCTTCTCTGAAATTCTCTCATTGCTCCCGGTTAGTTGGAAGTACAGTGTAACTGGCACATCTCCATCTACCGTTCCGAAAATGTCAACCAGAATGGTTTCTTCCACATCCACGCGGACAACATTGGGGGCGATGATGAAATACTGGGCCCTAAATGAAGATAAAGAAAGTGTGCTATACATTTTCTGTTGTCATCATTTCAATTAAACATTTTATATGTGTACCATCCACTGGTAAATTGTGAAACAATAAAACCACGGCACTGTTATGCAAGTCACTGTGAAAAACCTGATGAATTTGAAGCAGATTTTTTTAAAGAAACAATTAAGTGGAAGATACATAAAACCAAGACAACTTGAGGGAAACATTATGTGAGATGTAAATCCTGGGGCGTGTTTCAGCTCCATGTTTCAGCTCTGGTCACTAGTTAAACATTTGTGCGACTTCAGTTATGCCTCTGCAACATCATTGTTCCCAACAAGGTTGGAGATGGTTTGATGCTGGTTAAAAATGGCGGAAAATAAACAGGCAAGTTTTTATCACCCCTCAAATGAGTGAATTATACATTTCAAATATGTATTTACATTCAGCAAATGGAAGAGATGCATGTACATGTACTTTCTTCAAGAACATACTTGAAAGAGAGAGCAATGCTGGTGAGATTGAGTGAAAATGATGTTCATCAACAGTATCACCTGCTTCCTTGCGCTTGCCTCTGTCAGATGGTTTAACTGTTTCTGGCTCTTTGTTTTTGTGGGTCAACGTTAACATGTTTGTTTTGATGTCACAAACCTGTTTCAGATTAGGGGTAGCCAAAACGCCCTCGAGTCACTGAAATCCTAAGTAAATTTGATGGCAGCAGTATATATACATGTTTCTCAGAATCTTTAATGTGGTAATATAAGCCAGTCATTACTTTACCGATCAACATACATGTGCATTGTAATTTTATAAGGAAGTGATTTTCAATGCACATGTCAAAAGTAGCACTTTTTAATTAATGCTTCACAGCACCAGTGGACAGAATGCTACATGTCTCCCCAAAGTTATGACAACTCTACAGACAAGACATGTCACCACAAAGACTACCGTCAATGGCAGTATTGCACATGCTGCACGAGTCATTGTCATCAGTCTCTTTAAATATACCGTTGTTAACCAATAGCATTAAAGGAAGACGTCAAGGATATCAGGTCTCAACTTGCATTTGATCACTTCCTGGAACACTACATATTAATGAACCTGAGTGACAATATTCCAACAATTCCGAGTAACACTACCTTCCTATAACCTATGTGCACATAGAGGGCAACAAATCATGGACTGTAGACATGCAGTACAGGCTTACTTAACTCCAATGACAATCATCATCAGGACCAATGCATAGTCTTACTAATGACATGACAGTTTCACCATGTATGGTATTTGATCCTAGCTATAGGGCCAATTGAATAAAGGTAGTTGAACACGATCAAACTGATAACAAACCTCAGGAATATGAAACCATTGATTCTACTACTTTCAGCCAAAGGCAAATTGAGAACGGTGGCGTATCCAATTCTTTCAGTCCACGGGGCAAAATGGAGCTTTAGTTTTTCCACTTGTAAAAGAGTCCTACCCCCAAGACCAAATATCAAAGCACCATTTCTAAAATACTGGTGCTTCAGTTCCTTTAAAAACGCAACATGTCTCATAGGGGGCAAACGTCCCCCCCCCATCCAGTCCAGATACTCCACAGATCAAGACACATTTCTGGGGGGTATATAGGAGCAAACACATTGGGACTTTCTTTATGTTAGCTTCAACTTACAAGGAGCTTTCTGTCGGATGAAACTACACAAAGGGTTTTTTAATAGAAATGCTTTGGGGAAGGAAGAAAACTGAAATAAGTCTCTCAGATAATGGCCTCCACTTTGCCTAATTCTTCAAATCCCATATCAGTATGTGTCATATGGCACATACCTTTATTGCTTTTTCCAACCTGTGGGTCTTTGATAACACCGATTTACCTCTTAATTCATGGAACTTTGAAAATACATACATGTAGGATATAGAATATCGCCTACAAACCTCATGGATGTTTTCTTTCATACTCACAGAGAGTTCGTTATCAGAAATTAACAGCTGACATGGGGTAAGTGATTTGTTTTGGATTGTGTAGGATGAGGATATGGATATTGGACTGCAACTCGTGTGGACATGCTGAAAGACTTTTGGCAGTAATAACCCAAGCCCAAATCCAAATTAATCTGCCTCCCCAAATCCGTTAGACATGACTTATAGACACAAAGTGCATATCCTGTTGAAATTACAACATATCTGTGAATATCAATGTAGGAGTATGGTTGAGTGACTCAGAATTTAGAAACTATTGCCAAATCATGCCAACAAATTGATGATTCCACTAACCAAGGCTGGTGTATAGTGATACCCTACATAGCAGCCAATAAGTAATATTGACTAGAAAAGCATTAAAAACTTTTTGAGTCACCCTTACGGCTAGTTTGTTCCAAAATAAATAATATATCCATCCTTTCGGGGTTCAGTTAAACAAATTTCAGCCTTAAAGTTAAGATGCCAGTAGATAATGCCATTTGGGGAATCTTATTGGTCAGGCTGATTTTGCAACAATGTTCATTGTCCATATGGACTAAATAATCTACCTTCGCCATCTAGATGTTTCTCCTGTCAGTGAATGTGCCAGAATTGCTTTTCAAAACTTTAGCCCCTTGCATTCTGCCACACTACATTACTCCATACCGGTAAATTCTTTTTGCTGTTCACCTCCTGTTGGTTCTGAATTGACTTGTGGTTTACATGTGACCACAAACAGGTGATGGACTTGTAATGGGTTTAAATTATTTCATTACAGTGGCCATCGCAAACCCAAGGTTCTGGTATGAACAGTACTTGAACGTTATTTTGTGGAACTGTGTTTTATGGATTTTAAAACTGAAGGGTTAAGATGAAGATTCTAAACATGACCACAATTGTAGAGTCTATGCAGGGTCTCCATTCTTAACAAAGTTGGCCTTACAATAGCAGAGCCAAATAAACACAGCTGTAACCAAATAACCAGAGGAGAAAGGCCCATGAGCCACTTGGGGCAACCTGACAGGCCTTGTTTACACCAAAGACATGTGTATCCTGTAAATCCAGTTGACAGCAGTCTGGCTGCCACCATGGAGACTAAGTGACCCCAGGCAAGGGCAGAGCAGTAAAGCAGGCACTCCCATGAAACGTGCAATTTGGCTCTGGTAGTACCATCTGTTGATCCTAAAAGTACATGTACATGTCAATGTCTTGGGGTGGTCCCATGCAAGAATTCATCAGCTACCACTCTGTACCTGGTAGCTACTGTACATGTACATGTATAGTACCCTGGTACAACCAGCATCATCCCAGATTCAGGCAAAAACTTAAGGGGGATGACAGTATCGGCTGGGGGGTCATAGTATCAGCTAGGGGGTCACAGAATGGGGGGGGGGCACATTACAAGAACAAAATATCTTTTTATGCTTTGCTTTTTACAGACGAGGGCCCCCTTACCCCCCCCATTGTGGATAGAACCATTGTTATATTAATTTGAAACATGCCCACACAAACTAATAATGTGTTTCTCATCATTCATTCTTAACCCCACCATGCCCTTTGACAACATACATGTAGGCCTACATGTCTTTCGTGAATTTAATCACACTGATGATTTTCCATTGTCACTTGTTACCTATACAATTTAGTTCACAAATAAAAGGAAAATCACTGTTGTTGCCCCCTCTCCCCAAAAAACAATATTTTTGAGAGTATAACCACCCGGTGTCAAATGTAATAGGAAACACAACTAAATTTTTGCTTTGCAATACAATTCAATTCACAGTAACATGAACCATGATGAAGGGACTGTATTTCTAAATTAAAAGTGTAAAATCCTGCTACCACCAAGCAAAAAAAAAAAGATTCTCAATTACAATACTCGTACTAGAAGCAAAAATGGAGAATCAACAATTCCATGGACAGAGAAACAAACTCCCTAATGCAAAGTTGAGCCTTTGATACAAAATGAACAGACCAAATCCTGATAAAAATGTATTGTACCCAATTTTAGCAAGTCATTATGCAAATAAATTAAGTGAACATACAATATTTGGGAATTTTTGCTTTACCTTCAAAACCAAAATATAAAATAGGTGCCACTTGTTACAAGTCTCAATATGGGAAGACCTAACTCCTGCCCCGCTTATGAAAATACACAAACAGATGTATACACTAAAGCAGATACCCGGTACACATTAAATATACATCTCCATCTCTATTATCAAAGAAAATCAGCAGCCGCAACCATCCCCTACCCATCAAGGCCATTTAGTCTTTTGAGATGTGGCTTAAGATTGTCGCTGGATTTACCACAAAACAACATACAGCATTTTTACAGGGTGTTATCAACACACTGGGGCAAAATAGTTGTCTGTGAAATGGCCCTATAAAAACACCTTTATTTCGTTAAGCCATTCCATGGAAATCTGGTTACTTCAACTGTTGCCAACTGAGAATGAAAACACCTGTGACCTAAGCCTCTTATGCAAGGGGTGCCACCCTCCTTGGTATCATTAAGACTATAAGAGTAATTAAAAATCCTTCCAAGGATCAGTCCAACCATGGAAGCAAGCCCTGGCATGGATGCCTGGGTAATTTAACTTTCTTGGACATGTTGAAACAGTCCTTAGGGATTATCATTTCACAGCAAACTGGTATTTAAAGATTTCCACAGAATGTGAACCTAGTATGGGTATCTACCCATCATGCTCAGGAAAGGGATCATCAAATGATGATTGGCTGAACATTAGATGTCACAGCATGGAGCGAGGAATGAGGACCAGAATCTGAGAATAAATAATACTTACTCTGCTTGTGTCAGAGCAACCATCTGCAGGGCTGCACAGAAGAACACCAGCATACACATCTTGGTGCGTTCTTGGAACTTGCTTTTCTCACAGTTAATCTTCTTACTGCACCTTCTCAAAACCAAGACTCTAGTAAAACTGTACAGCACACACAGTGTATAGTGAGACAGGTGACTGTGTCCCCACCTCTCAATAAGTCTGACCTGTAGACTTTGAGATGGGATCAACTTATCTCGATCTCAGTTCCTCGTGTCTGCAAATCCCTAAGAAACCAGTCCTGACAATGAAGCAAGTAACAATGGCCAAACAAATCAGGTTCTTTTCCAATACTTTACACTTTGAAAATCTTCTGCAATCCTGTTTCATGTATCATTGAGCCCAAACACAGAGCACAATGTCCAAGGATGTCCTGTGCTGTTGGCTGGTGAAGCATGCTTTGGCAACTTACTCAGTGGGGGTCACACCTATACCAGTTGGGCACAAGGTCAAATTTCACTGACATCATCAAACTTATGCTAGAAGTCTGAGAAAACAGGAAGTGGACTGATGCAATCTACAACATAGGGGTGAGACAACTATGACTGATCAAGCCACAGATTGATGTGTAAAATTCACCATAAAAATCCTGTTTCTGCGGTGAAGGGTTGATGTCAGGCCAAGGGTGATCATGCTGAAAAAACATATTTCACTAAAATGTGACCGCACAGGCGCAGCCCAGTGACAAGTTACGCCTGCATGCACCTTTGTACTTTTCTTAGTTGACTCAACCAGACTGAATCGCAAATAGCGTCTGTAATGTCACTTAAATGACATCTAGCCTGCAGTCCCAACAAACTTTGACTTTGGGGGAGGGGACCTTGACAGGGATTGGCCGGCCTCAGCTTGTTTTTTTTTCTTTATTAATAAGTCAGCACAAAGTTCAACTATTTCAAGCTGCGTTCCAAGTATGGATGAATACACTGATGATTATTCCGAGCAATGACGTATAGAAGCTGTCATCAATGGGACTTTCCACTGAACAAGACGTTACATGTACATGTACCTCCCTGGACTGAGGAAACAGGTGATGAGTGTAATTGCATTATTTTTCCAACCAAGCATACATATGCTATTAAAATTGTCCGGCAAGTTTTTCTCCCACTCTCTCTCACTCATTGAAAAGAATCACTTTGTGACTTGTGGTTGCAATGATAACGACCACTGAAGAGACTCCTATGGGTCTGTTTCATTTTCAAATTCCATCAAGTGAGGTGGAATAAGACAATCAATACAACAGCCCTTCCCTCTGCCCTGCCCAACACGACTTTTGGTCAAACTAAGAAAAAGGACAAAGTTCAAAGAAAATTCTACCACTGCATCACAACATAAAGGGATGTTTAATCAGCATGTGTCCCAAAACAACAATCCAGCAAAATCCTTCAGGAAACCTATGATCGTCCAAAGACAATGGCTTTGAGAAATATCCTTTTATTTATCCCATAGTCACAACAGAAAACAACACTTTCAAGAAAACCTCTCAGTGTAATCAAATTCACTTTCAAATTTTGTGGGGTTTTTTTGGCTTTTGTGTGGGTGTGTTTTTTTTTTTGTTTTTTTTTGCGGGGGATGGTGGGTGGGGGGTGGGAGCTTAGTAATCCAACAGCTCTTTTCTTCAAATGACGACAGTCAAGCAGATGTACTCAGGCCTACAGATGTAAATTAAATCACCTGCATGCAGACACATTTGAGAAGTGTCATCCATAGTGTAGTGAGAGGTGCAGGAATATTGGTAACTGGCAGTCATCTCAGTTTCCTGTTTTAAGCAGTTGTCACTCCTGAGGATGCGTACTTCAAGCCACTCATTACTAAAATCAATATTGATTCAGGTTGCTTTTTCAAATCAGTTAACACTGCTGAATGCTTTGGGTGGGGTGGGCTGTCTTTCTCAGCATAAATGGTTGAGCAAATTTCTGCAAACAACTCCCCCCCCCATGCAGCTGTTCCATGCGATCAGATATAGCAACTGCCGGATGTGCTGATAAAGTTTTACAATGGCAAGTTGAAAAATGAAACAGGATCTATGGCTTCAAAGGCTAAAGCCATGTCCATGCACCCAAAGTTTGTCCGAGGGATTTTCCTGGACCTGCTAAATTTAGAGCGGCAAAACAGGATCCTGATTAGGATCTTGTAAGTAGAAATCGGGACCTCGTCCAACTACTGGTGCTGACTTGAGCCAGCTATGGCAAATCATTCTGGACTGATAGCATCCCACTTGTAATCTCTGAAATCTTCTCCTTCATACACTTCTGTGTATAAAGCATGAAGAAAAAAACATTTTAAGAACCTCTCAGAAAAGACAGGAACCAACATTGCTTGTTTCCATAATTTATCAGCGATTGGAATGATTGGAACTTTTATTCAATGAAGGAACATGCAGATTGAAGATGGACCTACTGGTAACTGATTGGAATGATTGGAACTTTTATTCAATGCAGGAACATGCAGATGGACCTACCAGTAACTGACTTTTAAGTTTCCACAGTTAAGCATTCTCTTTTTTTTTTTTTTTGATCTGCTCGATGATTTTTACTTGGACAAGATGACCCTTTATTTTGAGCATACTGCATATATATATATATGCATTGAAATGCACAATTTTCATGTGTGTGCTGTGAGCCAGGTTGACAATTCCTCCCATTAGCCTGCCTCGACTGTATTTCGCTGGTCGGTGGGGGGATGCTTTTCGTCAGTTAAGTCACATGCATAATATACATTAAATGCACAAGTAAATAAATAGCATAGGACTCAGGTTGATGTAGCACATCTTTCCTTCACCTTCCACCTCCGTGGCTTGGATTCGAATCCTGGCTTGGCCCACATGTGGATTGGGTTTCAAGTCCCTACCGGATTCCGTGGGTTTTACCCTGAATATTCCTCTGAGGTTTTCTTCCCACCCCTGAACCGCTGCAACCACTTTTCGTAGTCTCTTCTCTAAGATTTCTTCTGGTTTGCAAGTTACAGCACCAAGAGCACTTTGAAGAATTGTTGATATTATTACAAGGAAACAATCACAGCAACTATAATAATTCAATTTATTCCAGGTGGGTCGGGTGAGTGGAGTAGGGAGAGAGGTGAAGAGGCAAAGTACTATTTGAAGAAGGAGGGGGTAAATTTGCCCTGAGAGGCAAAGCACTCATCAGCAGCAAACTGGTAAACAATTAAAAATGAAAAGGGGTTGATGCAGGTATATATGTACATGTCTTTTCAAGTACATGTAAATTGGTCGTTTTCATCTTCATTTTGCTTCTGTCACTTACTCTTTTCTTTTTTTTTGTTGTTTCTTTTTATTTTTCAATTCCCCCCCATGACTGCATACCCTGTGAAATACCCAAGTCTGAAGGCAGACGAGACAGTATTGAATTTGGAGTATTGTTTATTTCAAATAAACAGAATTAGGCATGAAGCTCGAGTCAAGAAACACACACGGGACTGGGCTTTGCAATTCTAACAAAAGTGTATTCAGAACAGGTGTTAAAAGTCAGTAGGGGGAAAAAGCTTTATGGGAGAGTCATTTCAACGGCAGTGGCCATCATAAAGGGGAATTCCCTACCATCTAGGATTCAATGTGGCAATCCTTGGAATGTCAGGATTGGAAACTGGTTGTTGAGATTTTCTGGGAAAAATTTCCAGAAACCTGTTCCGGATTGGTGTGTAATGACGGAGAATTTATTTAGCTCATTTGACCTTGTACATTTTTCAGGTGCATGCATCCACAATCACTCTGCCCATTGTAATCTTCACTTCCCTCAGCTGCCAATTTTGATACATTTAGAATTTAAATCAAAAGGTAATAAACACATGAACAATGTAATGCATGGCCTGTCTGAAGTTTGTGTGTAGAGAGAACAAGTTCATTAGTAACTTGTACAGTACATGCACAAGTACCACAATGTGTATGCATGTGATATTTGAATGAGTTTTCAATACCCACACACATCTCCATTTCAAAATCATGGTCACCCTACTTGCATCGTAATTAGCACAGGTACAGCTACATGTAAGAATGTCTTATTTACTGCTGACTGAAACATTCAAAGTACAGGAATACGTGTACATAACAGGTGTAATTCCAAGTTAATAATTCCAAGCTATTTCAAATCCAGACCTTGCTTGAACTTCCATTTTAGCCAGCTTAGAAGATTAGAAATTTTGAAGCATCTTGGAACTTCAATTTCAACCCGTAAGGCCAGGATAAATGCTGGAGTCATAGGCCTATCATCATAGCAGTCTTGTTATTTACGAATGTCCTAATTGAAACCATCAATGCCACATGTTCCCAAGCAGTCTGCCATCTTCAGTCACACTTTATCAAATTCCATCTGTCCTTGCTGTTAGCTGGCAGGGATGTGCTTCGGACAGAAGAACTTGACATTCGACATGTCGGTGGGGGCCAATGCCACAAATCCCAGGCACCGGGCATGAGCCCAGAAATTGCAACCGGGCTTCTGGCAGGCCAGCCATGTGTTCCTTTTCTTGCAGACGGCACACGGAGTCTTCTTGCCAATGGGCTGGTGGCATGCGCTGGAAGAGCTACATGTACCCGCCTGTTCATCTTGTTCGGACTCGTCATTCTTGGACTTAGCCGGCGTCTTCCTAGGCCGTCCCCTGGGCGTGGGCCCCTGCTGGACACTGATCATGGGCATTCCTGCCACTCCATCTGGCTGAAACTCCCCTGAGCGGTACTCATAGAGGTGACCGGCTTGGGACTTCAACATGATGCTGACAGAGGCGCCACAAATGGACGTCAGTTGGTTTGCCTGTGCGTAGTTTTGAGATCAGGTTTGATTCAATAACCAATTTTCAATTTGTTCCTTTTTTAGATCTAATTACAGTAAATGTAATCCAGGTTATGGTTTCCAATTGACCATTAATTGATCTATTAGGTTTTTAACACACCTCTTGCTGGTTCTTTATCCTGGTTGGCTGAAATTTAGTCATGTGGGGTTCACCACTATAGATAGGCTGGCACATGGCATTTGAATCAGTGTGAAATGGACAGACATCAAGAAATCACAGGCACTATCCTCTTCTTTTCTGGGGGGGGGGGATTACTGGTTACAGCACACTTACATGGTGAGAAGAGCGAACAGCAACTCAAAAACTGAATCGAGGAAAACTGAAAGTGCTTGTTTAATTGTTGAATAGCTCACGAGTTGGATATTAAAATAAAATTCACATGTAACTTTACATTTTGGACAGAGGTGTTGAGGAACGCACATGTACATATACTGGGATAATTCTGTCACCCCTACACATCTACATGTACTTGTTCATGTATGCCCCAAAAGGGCAGTGCATGTGAGTGACCAGAAGCTACATGTATACAGCCCTATTTCCCAAGTCTAAAGCCCTGTACACATAAAATTGTGTATAATTCATTAACCCAGGTCAACTCCATGACCGCACTAAAGTGTGCATTACAGAGGGAAGGAACTGAAGACCGTACCGGTGTCCAACCTGGCCAATTTGGTGCAAATCATGTGGTCGTGATGCCCTTGGCAAAGGGTTAACAGTGGGAAAGCACTGCAGTATTATACTGTACACATGTACATGTACATACCTGAAACTCATTGATCACTGGTAAAATTTAATGTCATTTATATGCAAATGTACTAAATCTGAAGGTTTGTTTCAGACTTTCTAAAAAGTCTTAGGACACTGGTGTTGTTCTGCAGAAGTGTGATTTGTTTGCAGAATCTGATGCTGAGCTTGGCATTTCATTCAATTTCAGCAATAACATTTCGATTAACTTTCTCTTTTTTCATTGCTCATCCAGGAAGACAGCGGAAATGGGATATAGATTATATCAAAATGACTGTGATGTACCACAGGGAAAGTCCCTTTTCAGCCCTTATTTCTCAACACTTAAACGACTTCATACAAACATTACCAGGAAGGATGACCAGGAACAGGGGCCCATTAAAACTTACCGAGAACTTTCTGACTCTCTTACGTAATGCCTCCAGGGAACTTTTAACTTTTGTCTTATTCTGTGCACATATGTATATGTACATCAGTTGATACATGTACATCAGTTGATACATGTACATCAGTTGATACATGTACATCAGTTGATACATGCACATCAGTTGATACATGTACATCAGTTGATACATGTACATCAGTTGATACATGTACATCAGTTGATACATGTACATCAGTTGATACATGTACATCAGTTGATACATGTACATCAGTTGATACATGTACAGTGAATGTGTTCTTCCTTTACATCCACCAGTAACTTGTACATATGCAATTTATGGACATTTGTAAACCAGTTTCTTGTGCGTGTATGTATGAAAATTTAATTTCGGATTTTTTGCCCTGCCCGACGTGTATTGTAACACTATATCCTCGGCATACCTGTATACTCATCTGAATACATGTTCACTAGTTGTCCCACAGGCTAAAAACTGTCTCCCTTTAAAACCTGGATCTTGTATTCACTGCATTGTCTGGTGTACGGCATGAACAATAAAGGACAAACTACCGCTACATTCGAAACACATTACAGGCCACTGATCACATCTCAGAAAGTTTGTTACAATATTTGTTTGTTTTCTTTTGGGTTTTTTTTTTCGCAATTTTTGTTTACAATACGGTAGAGCTTGTTGAGTGTGCTGGCCTTTTTCACGGTTCACAGATAGACTGCCCGTATCCAGCAAAGATTGTACTGGTACAGTGGCACTAATGACAAGCAGGAGTTCATGATGCATACTTCTATCACTGTTCAACTGTATACATGTCATACATGTACATGTGCACATGTACTGTCCATTCCGAGGAGCAACAATGATAGTACATAAGCCTACATGTATAAAGCCTGGCTTCTGTATTGACGTAAGAAACGCAGAAAACAACAAAATCAAGACGCAAACTGCAATGCAGACAAATGGAAACATGACAAACGGAAGTGTTGCCACAAACGCAAACCAGCCCCAGATGGATCGGCAAAGTTGAGCCTGGTTCAACTTTGCCGACTGTCTGCATCAAGCCGCTAAGTAGGCCTATACAAACATGCATGCTGGCATGACGGGCGTACAACAATGTTTCGCTTAGTTCCACTCATATCATCCATTTTCTCCTTATTACTAGCATATGCAGCCCAATCGTCAACAAAATAGCTGACAAACTACATCAAACTGGAATACCAGTTTGGCTTCAAGAGGCAACATTGCCACCTCAGTAAAAAAGGCATTTTTTGCCAAAATTTTCAGAGTTACACCCGTTATTTTCTTTAATTTTTTGGTGGAGTGATGTCGCACAGCGTCTCATCCGTGACCGTCTGTGTTACAAACGACCACATAGAAACCAGGCTTAACTCTCCAAACCATGACACTGAGTAGGCAAACTTGCATATCTTGAGCATTTTCAGTGACATGTACTATATCTTACATTAAACACAAACACCTGCCCCAAAAATTCGTATTGGATAAAACAGGAATCCGACACTCCAAACTACGGTACCCTGTCCAGCCTCACCCATGCCTGGGGAGTCACCACTTCCCAACCTCACCTTGTCAAATATCGTCTTTCTCCTCTTGAAGAAGGACTTGCACCTTCTCTGGCTGTCTTCCTCATAGGACAGGTCGATGGGACCCACATGGTGGTTGGGGTGTCTCTTCTTTGGTGGGCTTTCCAGGACGGGCTCTGTTGACTGATAGGATGTAAAAATCCCCCAAAAAGGTGACATCCTCCAAAACGTCCGAGGAATATTAGTGAATCTCTGTGACCTCTGAGATAATAGGCATGATGGGCTCAAGCAAGAAGATTAGAATTGAGTCAATTCTAATTCTCCTTTGGGTTCCATGTCCTCAATTTTCAATATGTGTGGCTATTGCAGTGCAAACAGAATGTAATGGAAACAGCCCAAGTGGGGACTTTAAATTCTGTGCATTCATAATACATGTACACACTTGCAAAGTGCACACATACAAATTACATGTATAGCAAATATACAACTGAAATCGTTGGCAGATTCAGTGCTGAAGTCAAGTCTATCACAGGCTCCAGCAGGTGCCTGCAAGTCTATCCTGAATCCATCTTGAGTCATTCGTCACCGTAATTCAAGTGAATTGTGACAAATATTGACAAAATATTCCTCTGTCACTGTCCACCCGTTACTTGTGCCTAGTCTTAGGAAGAGACCTGTTATGTGACGTGTCAAGAGACTCGACGAAAATACCGATTATGAAATGGTTTTTAAACAGGAAAGATCTCTTTTTATTTGAAATGCAAAACAGGGGTGTTACACGGTACATGTACACATATTTATTTGAAGGCAGAATCCAGGAGAATAAGTCAATCACACCTAAATTTGTGCGTCCGCTCACAATGATAAAACTTTTTGTTCAAAATACCAGTACATATGTCTGCACTTGGAAAAACACTGAAAGTAACGTAAGGCCTTTATTTTGGTGCACGTAAACAGTCCACAGTTTTGGACAATACCTACCTGTGCACATGATATGCTGTGTTCGGGAGCTGTCGCTTCATCATCACAAACCGTTATCTGTTCCTCTGCGTCTTGGGATCGCAGATGTCGAGCCATGATAGAAACCTGTACAAATGCAAATTTATGACAGTGCAAATTCCCAGTCAATTTTGTATGCAGAAAATTGTGTACAGTGGCCTTAATATCAACAAAGCTTAAAATCAACAGAAGAAATACATATACATGTAAATAAGTGACATTGCTGTTTATTGGGGAGCTACATGTACATGTCAATTAGTCTTTTTCCGCATGCCTTTCTTTCTCTGTTTAATTTCCATTATCAAAATTTTTCAAATTTGAAGTGAAGGCAGCATTCATTCATTCATGAGTCACTCGGTAAAGAACAAAGATTTTACAAAATATGAATTTTAAGCTTTTCAGTGGGAATCCGCGCTCATTTTCACATCAATTCAAATCATATTTTCTTTGCGTCGAAGTGTCCGATGGAATCCAAACTTTTCAAAAAGTCACTTCAATACACAAACAGAACAAAACCACATATTATCCTAAAATTGCATCCATCTGGAATACAACGAAGATACAGTACATGCACAGTATTAAGCTGTCAGTTGAGTTGCCGTGGTCTTTGAATACAGCAAAAAAACACTTGACTGGTCCTAAAACGTCGTTGACCATGTTAAAGACTGATCAGAACAGATGCTGGTGCTGATACTGTTCCGCGCTGCAGGCAATCAAACTGCCCATTCGCCAGAGCACATTTCAGATCATGCAAGCCAGTGGTGTAAAATTGTGCTGGATAAATGTAATGGCGAAGGGGTCCGAAGACATGGGTGTGGGAAATTGTGGGGGGGGAGACAATGTCTTTCATGGTAATGAAAATTTGAATAGCCGGAGGGACAGGTGCCAACACAACACTAGTACCAGCATGACACTAAGAGACGACATTCATGACACAGACGTACATGTACATCTGTAAAATATATTACATACACTTAGTACAGACATGTACATGTACCACTACCAGTGCATTCATGTACACTACAGAATCTACATTGCCGGTATGGGCCTATAATGTACATTGTTATGGGTCATGCTGCATGTATTTACTGGTACATGTAGAGTCAACAAGCATCAACGAGCGTCTACAAAGCTCATTAATAAGTTACATACATATACATGTATTTCAGGCATATTTATGCAATTTTTTTTAATCTAAAATAGTAATTAGGCTCCATGTTCATTTCATATTCAATGTATAGATCTGACAAATGTATGAGTGTTGAAATTTGAGTGACAAGTCCGACCCCAGTCGTGCAGCCTGCCTGGCTGCCCTCTTGTTTTTCGCATGGATGGCAGAGTAAAGAAAGATGGTGGCCTCCATGCATCGCCAAAATTTTTTATTTTTCTGCAAGAACCTGGAAGCGAATTTGATGTTTCTCTAAGAACATGTACATGTACATATTCATAGTAGCAGGTCTTAGAGTCTCCAAAATACAATAGGGCCTAAAACCACTTTGAAATCTTTAGAGGATGTTTACAAGCTGTTGATGCTTTGTTGACGCTTCCGGGACGTGTACATACATGTACATGTGCTTGTGTCTGTTAACATGTTGATAAATGCTAAATACATGTATTATGACCGCATTGTTACTGTTGGACCTTTTTGACTGCTTTTGATAAGGCCTACATTGTACATTTTAGTTGTTGGGAAGCCCAAACAATCATCACAATAAACCTTTTTCACATTTGCAATGCACTATGGGTTCGGATGACAAACAAGCAATGCACTTTAGGCACACCCCTATCTGGGGAAGTGAACCAGTCAGAAATCAATTTACAGTTATCCACTAAATATTTTCATGTATCTGCTCATCAGCTCACAGAGGCATGAGCATTGTCGGAAATACAAGAAATATTTTCAAATAAGTTTTCAAATGTTTGTAAGAAGAAGAAATCGCCCTTAATTGCAGAGTGCTTTTTTTTTAAGGGCACCAGTCACTCTACAGGCTGAAAATGAACGTGACTGGTCCTTCGGGATGAATGAGCTACATGTACGAGTCGTGAGTTTCATTGCATTAATATTTACGATCTTAGTCAAAACCTGGTCCATGAAGAAAATTGGTGTTGTTGGAAGGGATTCTCTGAATTTTCCTTTACTGCCAAGATTTAAACTTCAAAGTTTATGAATATCTTCATCCCAAATCAATGATGCAACACTTTGTCAGAAAATACATTTAAGCTTTAAAACTTTTTATTTCAAACGAGCTTGTTTAACATATTATTGACCAATTTCACTTCATTTTGCAACCACGACTCTAGCCCAAAGTCACAGCACATGTCCTTGATGGTTAGCCTACCTTAGAATGTTGGTCCAACATCTGCCCTGCTCCTGGACATTGGACACCACACAGGCCACAGTTCTGGGGTACCTACATGTACTTGACATGGCTGATGGGTAGGCCTACATGTACTCCCCAAAATGCCACACAGTTCTCAGTAGCACTGAGTACATGTACATGTACATGTATGTTATAGAATACCAAGTGTGACGTCACTGTGAACCAGAAACTTGAGAAAGTCTAGCGCAAACAAATGGGTCCATACATACATGTACATGTAAACATGTACGCACACTTGTTGGCTTAGTTGGTTCACGAGCTGGTTCTCGCGCTTGAAGTTATAATGCCTTTTTACACACATAGGCCCTAGGCCTACTGGTAAGCCTAACTGTGCATGTGACATACATGTACCTACATGTACATGTATTCACTTCTGTACTCTATACGTTAGGGGCCTACATGGACATGATGGAACTGGGTAAAGATAGGCATACACCTGTACACCACCCGGTATCCCCATAACCCCCCCTCCCCCGGCCCTGAAAAAGAAAATGCACCTAGGGCCCTGTAGGCCTATAAACCTTTTCGACGTTCGCAATGCATTGTGGGTTTGGATGACAAACAAGCAATGCATTTTACGCACAACTCTAAGGAAGAAGTGTACCTAAAAATGTTAATCTGTGTCCATTTTATGTCATACTCCAATTCAAGCCACCCCCTTCTGACAAAGTGTTGGATTATTGATTTGGGACGAAGATATTCACAAACTTCAAAGTTTAAAGCTTGGCAGAAAAGGAAAATTTGGAGAATCCCTTCCAACAACACCACTTTTTGTCACGGACCGTGCTCTGACTACTTTGTGAATATTAATTTTCTAGTGTCGTCCAATCAAAATTACGACTTGCAGCTTATTCATCCTGCTTTGACCAGTCACGTTCATTTTCTGCCCGTAGCATGACTGATGCCCTTAAATTAAAAAAAAATTAAGTTAAAAAGGGCAATTAAGGTTGATTTGTTCTTACAAACATTTGAAAACGTATTTGAAAATGTTTCTTGTATAATCTAATATATAATACGCATCCATCTGTGAGTTGATGAGCAGATACATAAAAAAAAATATTTAGTAGAAAACTGTAAATTGATCTTTGACTGGTTCACTTCCTCCATAGGGTTGTCAAAATGCATTGCTTGTGTGTCATCCATATCCATAATGCATTGCGAACGTCGAAAAGGTTTCTTCAGGTCAGGATGTCTTTCCCATGATACTTACCCGGTGCGATACAACTTACAAGCAAATTCTTTGATTGGACGAGAGACAAGACGAAAGTAGGCCAACCGAGACACTAAAAAGCTCCAATGTCCAACATGTCCAAGACTAGTCCAATGTCATGAATGTTGTTTGAAATATCCCTCCTTTACTTAGTTTTGGAGATTGTTTACACCACCAGATTAGCGGCAATAGCGCCATCCCCCGGTCACAAGCCTACATGTAGAACTTTCCCAATCGATGGAGGGCGCACAACACCCATGTAGGCTATGCACTGAACAAGTTCAAGCTCCATTGAATAAGGTGTAAAAGTAGCAAAGCAAAGTTCGGAGCCCATGCCCATGGCAGGCAACTGAAGCTCCTGAGGCCTCTCAAAACAATGTGTTGTTTGGTCCTTCAGGTTTCATTTGATATTCAATGTTTAGTAGGTTAACCAATGAATGTTTAAATTGTCCGCCTAAAACAAACTCACCCCAAAAAGTGAATGTTACCAATTCTTGTCAGCAGCCATTTTTCAAATGACATTCATCAACTTTATGTGGCTCTTATGACAAATTTTTAATCGCATTTTCGTCCGCTTTTCCCTCAGATGGGTGCCCCTGAGTCTACAGAGATAATTCTAGACCATACTTACACAATCCTACAATTTCTTGGCCAAACAGGCCTCTCTTTTCCAAAGAAACTGTCGGGGGTACTTTTTAAGCGCCTCGATGTGTGGTGGAGAATTTTCCTTGAATTCGGACACTGCACAAGTGCACCATATACCCAACAAGACGGCAAGATGGCTGCGCTTAGGGGTTTGCGGCATGGACAAGCCGATGATACAACAACCAACGATATGGAGGATCATAGGAAGGAGCTCGCATCACTTTCTCAAGAACTACAGGAATTCCTTAAAAGGCACGGATCGTTGAATTATATTGGTTCTAAAAAGGTAATCTGGCATTTCTGCCGAAAAAGTACAGTTATCATATCACCTAGCCATGCTAGCCTACCACATCCAGCGTGTTCATGATGATGTTCAGAGTAGATGTTCAGGCATTGTCAGGATGCATAGCCAATTAGGGCTAGGCCTATTAATCATTTCTGGTAATGACACCAAGGATTCCTCAAAAGTGTTCTATTCACTGCAGCTTGCAAGCCTGAAGTAGCCTAGGTCCTATAACCTGTAATGAAGAGGAATCAATGAGATTCAGTTAGGCCATGAGAATGAATATGGGTCATTCTAGAAATTTGGGGTCCAAATTTTTTTCCTGTCCCTGTTAGATCTGGCAAAGGATTTTTTAATGTTAAGAGCTCACTGTTTAATTCCAAGATTGAATCAGTACTGCAAATTACCTGCCAAACAAATAACAAAAGTTTGAAATCAATTTCAGTGATACATCCCTTGTCAAAAAGTCACACTTTGGACCCCAAATTTTTAGAATGATCCATATCCCAGACTTCTGTCACCACCTGCATACCGCTGAAACAGCCGCCAAAAAAAAAATTGTCATTTTCCAAAAAAATAATATTTCAGAAAAATTTTAGCAGTTGAAATTTAGGTCCACAATTTTTTAATTTTGAGCATAGTGATAAGTACACATACGGTGTACTTTCAGAGCAGCAAGTATTCACACATATACAGTGTGTTTGGTCTCATGTTCATGCATTTTCATGTATGCAGCTGTATGTCTTAGACATTATTGGTCAGTCTGTGCAATTGCTTCATCATGCTGCACTATCCGTTGATCTTATACATGTAGGTTCATGATATTCATTGATACCTGTGCAGTCAACCAATCTTGCAATACAACCATTCATGTTGTAAATGGCCATGCAGCGACAGGTCTCATTAGTAATGAATCATTGCATGCATGTGGTGCACTACAGGTGCGATGCAGCTTAACCGGGCATGAGATGCCCTGTAAGATGACAGCCTTGGAGAGCTACACCAAGGGTAGGAAGTACCAGCGGCTACGAGAGCGCAGCTGCTGTGACTTGGAGAAGTACAAGCCCCACATTATACCCAGCCAGAAAAAGGGCCATGTGTAAGACATTGTTTATGTATTTCAAATTGAATTTTGTTCCCCATACATGTAAATGTACCTGTACATTTCTGGCAAACCCAGAAACAAATATGACCCAGCACATTGAAATCAGGTATAAATATGAAAGCTTATGAAATCATCTTTCTGACCATGTACCTGTCTCAAAAGTCCATTTCAGACTTACTCCTGGTTTCAATGTGCTGGCTCACAAATGTTTTAAGGAGATGGAACAAAAAAACATGAGAGTTCCATACAATGCCTCTTGACAAAGTGTGTTTTCAAAGTGAATATCTGAATATATTCATTGTGAAATTTTTCTTTTAAGGACATTTTATTACTGGCTTATACGTGTACTTGTAGGTCATGACGGGGAAAAAATAGTGCCATCCATTTTTGGAATTCTTAACTGTTTTAGGGGACCTCAAAAAGTGGGAATTTCTTTATAAATTGTCACTTTTGTGGCCTTTCTGAGGAGCAAATTTGATAATTGATATGTGCCCCTGAGGACGAAGCAATTTCTGCAAGCCACTTGCATATCACATCAGAACTCGTCAGTGCAATACATACATACAGTATGTACATGATAGAGTTATGGGACAGAAAGCATTTACTCATCTGCACTCGCACTGGTCAAGTTCGTTCAATAAGGTGACCCCCAAAATGGACAGAGCACATTCGTGTAGCACTAAAGGGGTTACTGGTATTGATGTACTCATGCTGGCTGATTACATGTATCAACCACGGCCTGTGCTGCTAATAAACAGACATCAGTCAACTGGTCAAGCAGTGTGGGACTTGTCACTTGACACTTCTTAGCAACCTCGGTGGAAGAAACAATTTTTTTTAATGCCAACTTACACAAAGGGGTTTTTGTGGAAAAGGGACCTAGAAAAACATGACGACTTAGAAATGCCAACTTAGAAATGAAATTTTCAATGGAACTGCATTACAGACGATCATGACTATTGTCAAAAGGCTGACTTAAACGATATGATGAGTTACGCCATGCCAACTTAGTCGGAGCTTACTGTACATGTATATGTACAGGTACTCCTTTGCAAACTCTCCCGCCTTGAAATATTTTGAGTTCTCATTATGGTTGAAATAAGACTTTCATATGTAAATGTTAGTCAAATTAATATGATGATTTTGGATACAGTTGACCAATCTTGGTGAAGTCATATGATCAGGCAGTCTGATTGCGCGATATACTTGTACATGTATTGTCATTCTGCTATCAGCCAACCACTTTTTCTTTCTAATTCTAGGTTGTGGAAAATTGTTTTTAGAAGAAATTAAAGTTAAAGATTTTGTACATGATCTCCTGATAGGGAAGTGCCATTGCGCAGTCCTTCTGATTGACCTCAACAGCATGTCTATGAAGTGATACAATCAATTTCACTATGCTCAGCCTAGACAATGAACTTGCAGTATTTTGTATGATTGCATTCATCTTTCTTTCTGCAGGCACCAGCTTTTCTGCACACTGACGCGGCGTCATATCAGCAGGGAGCCTGCTGACATAGAAAGACATGTAAAGGGCAAACGATACATGAGGGCCCTCACAAGATGTGAGTTTGCTGAGCAAGAAATCTGTGTTGGCAGAAAGGAGCGTATGCCACACTATTCAATAAAAGTGCGTTACGCCCATCTCAGCATTGACAGTTCAGAAGGGGATGTGGTAGTGCTCTGTAGAAAGCTCTCCTGAAGTATCAATTGCAATATCGTTTTTGGTAAATGTAATGGATGAAGAGGTTTCTATTGCACTTGATATTTGTGTCAAGCTGAAAGACCTTAGAGAGCAGTGTTGTATTCAAGTCCATCACCAGTCCCTGCAAGTCCTTGTAAGTCCGTCACAAGTTCATCACAAGTCATTCGGCCTTGTGACCTGTGATGGAATCAACTCCAATGTGCTTAAGACGAAATTCTGAACATGCTATAAAATATGTACATGTGCTGTACACTAAGCAGAGGAAGGTTTTAATATTCCAATGTTTTGTACATTGCCAAAGAAAATAGTTTGGAATTGTTCTTTGTATATTATTTATTTAGGCTCAACAAAAATTCAAAAGCGTTGTGGTTTGTGTATGAAATGGCCATGACATGTACAAAATACGCACAGAAAGTGACAAAAGGGCAACTATACAAGCATGAAAAATAGCAGAAAAACGATCAGGAAAGTGAGCTATGTATGGTATGGGAAGGTATGGTGCCAAATACTGTTCAGGAGCTTAAGCATATTCAAACTGACTTCACCATTCCTTATTTGACCTGTACACCCAGACAATGAGTGTCAGCGTCTGGGCGTGCCGTTCAAGCCCTGCAGTAAGGTTCCTCGCATGGACCAACAGCAGCAGGAATTGGACCACGGACCACGGGAAGGCAGCACAACGGACTCTGAGGCCTCCGATGGGGAGACAGATGACAGCATGTCGGATCTCTACCCAGGTATCCATGCCCATCACTCCCCCCCCCCCACACGAATCCTTCACATTGATGTCTTTCTTTGTAGTGGCTCAACGATAGACTTATTTTTGAATGACAAAAATCCCCACTGTGGGTCTTGACCAAACCCTGTGAAAACCCGAACCTAGCGAGGGGACAATTGAAATATTTAGGTGCATTGAACTTTCAGGGCCCATCTACATGTGTTGTAGTTTGATTTGGCCCCATCATCTTCAGTCCTGCAGACTGCTAAAAAAATCTGATTGATGTTTAAGGATTAAACCTGAGGAGAGGGACGGTCAAAGAGTCAGGATAAAATCCTAAGAACTAGTTTATTACACACCAAAGTGTTTCGCAGAAGAAAAGCTAACCAACATGTTGGGTCATATGAGGCTCCCATTAAAATTTGAATGTGCCTTCTTCATCGTAAATGTCAATTACTGATACAGGATGCAGAGTCAAATATGAAGTCATGCACAAAGAAATGAGCCACTTGGGTATCCCGAGTAGCACTTGTCCAAACTGAAGCCTGTATAAGGTCATTGGAAACGGCAAAATGCATACGCAAGGTCTGCCTTTCAGCACGGCCAAACTACCCCAATTCGCATGCTTTGCTCTCGAATGAACTCAAACTGGGTCATTATAAACTTGAGATGTCTAAGACACTGTTTTATCATCCATTGAGGCCCTTCGCCAGTAAGGATTTACATCGAGTACATGTATCTTGCCATAAAAACATCATTTAACTTTAATCTGATTGAATATTACGTTTACATCATAATGTAGTAATTTTGCTTCAGTATTAACACATACAACGTACCATGTACACTGGATACACCAAAGATAACATACATTTGTAATTATTCAAAATTTCCAATGCAAACACTACAGGTGGACATCATTTTTATCATTTAATATTATACATGTAGATGTGTAAATCTGTCTTCTATACCCAGTCGTATGCATGTACATGTATCTTTGAAAATACCCAAAAGGTCAAGTTATTTAGCACAGTAAGACGAGCAGCTCGTAAATTTCTACAAACTTTGCAATATATATGTACCTTGGTCTAGCTTTTCATATTATGCATTGCTACATGTAAGTGCACAGCACAAGTGGGGCCTCATGAAAGGGCAAGGTACTTGGGCATCCATTTATCTTCGGAACGATTTCCCTGACTTAATAATTAGTGCAGTGTTTATGCATATTCGTGCACACCCACACGTGTGTACATGTACATTGCGTATCCATGTACATGTACATACTGTACATGTATATTAGACATGCTAGCCGTTACAAGTACAGTACATGTACCAACCCCCATCTCTCTGAGTACCAACATAGATATGCACTGTACTAAAGCTTTGAGTCTGTGTACTAGATTCTTTTGTCTCAGCAATATACGTGCATGTACACTGTACATGTACATGTCATTACTGTTTTCCCAAGGGACCACACACGTAGATTTTGAAGAAAAACTGGTTTTCAACAAATCGCCCACAAAGCTTCTCCTCTTTCAAAATGGCAATATACATGTACCAATATGGAACAAGTTTACAGTAAACGCCCTCAAACGATTCTTTGAGAGGTTAACCTTTGCCTGAACTGGGTAATTAAAATTAACACTGTGGTTAATCAGCCAAAATCATAAGTATAGATGCGTGTCTGTTTGTGAAATCAAAAATCTATGTTTTCCTACTTTTGGCCCTTCTATGCAATGTATTTTTCCACAGGGAAGGGGCACACGTGTTTACGTATGCACCACTGTTACATTGTAACAAAGATTTGTGGCCCTTCGTGAAAACAAAAATCTTACTTGACCTACTTTTCGGCCGTTCCAGTCAGTATGTTTTGTACATGTACATGTATGAGGGGCAGTAAGATAGGTTGTGTGTATTTGTGAAAATGCAAATACACTAGACAAGATTTTGGCTCCTAACCAACATGAATGTAATCAAATCGAAGAAATGCTACTTTCAATGTGTGTGGCTCTTTGTGGAAACAGTGACGATGTATGTAGTCAACTATGTACTGCATGCATTTTGTTGCAGAAAGCAGGGTTACGGTTGAATTGATTCGTTCCCTCCAGATTGTAAGGAATTTTAAAGAGCTGCTTGAGTTTATATAAAAACATGTCCTTACTACTACGCGTTCCACACCAGACATATTTTTACCTCAAATAGATACATGCACATTGTAGCAGCCAGGAATCATGTCTGTCATTACAGCTGAAGACTTTGAGGATGAACTCGAAGATGCAGGATTGGAAGAGGACATCGAAAACATGGCAGTTGGCGATGCCAGCAAGAATGCAGAACAAGTTACAGTTGGCAAAAAGCGAAAGGTACATGTACATACAGTAATTTGATTCTGCAGGAAGGACTGAGTGGCAATCCATGTGCATGATACCTTTGTTGTTTTTAATTTTAAGTTATTTGCTTTGTGTCCAGCAGGAGTGCAATTTCTCTGGATGTTCTGGATAGTAAGGATTGTCGATTTTACAATCCTGGATTTGCATAGGCTCAGTCACTCTAGTTTGTTACATATTTGCACTTGGTGCCACAAACATGCAAAGTACATATGGAGTATATTCAAATTAAAGAAGTTGGTAATGTTTAACCCTAATTCCCCAGAGTGATTTACAAGGAACCATACCCATTCACACAAATTCCAACACCATATGGTAAACTGTGCACAAAAACTGTTGGATTCTGTTTATTGTGGGTATGCCTGAAACCATGTTAAAGCACAAGCAGTTTCGGGGTACAGTACCCAGTGCCACAAATTCACACACTTTACTGGTGTTCAGTTCTGTGTAGTTAGGGAAGGTTAGGGTTCAAGATAACATACACAAACTCAAGCTATCATAATACAGACTCTTTGAGAACCTTACCATTCCACTGCAAGGTGAACATTTCAACAGTCTATACTCAGTTCACTTCGACACTGATTTTGTACCACCAAACTTATCTTACAGTCTTTAAAGAGTGAAGCCATTATGAAGAAAAATCATTGGAATTGAGATGGAAGTAAATCACTGTGACAGTTAATGGACACATACTTATAATCAGCTCAAATTATCAATCATTTTTACTCTCAGCAGTAGCAAAACTATGATCAGTTGTCTTTTACGTTTGAAGGGAAAAGGCTTGCCTGATAGTTTAGTTCTCTTTTCCAAGAAGGGAGAAAGAGTTTAATTAGATCCACCTTTATATTTTCAGAACCCAGGCTTTACTAAGAAGACCACGTTTAAGAAGTCAAAACAGCTTAAGTTGAACCCTGAACAGCAGCAGATGTTTAAAGATGCAAGATGACTGCAACAGTGAGATTTAAGGTGTGTTTATCATTTCAATGCAATACTACATGTATGCACGGCCATTACAATTCATTTTTTGTTTCAGTTGTGATTACATAATCGCATAGGCTGGTGCACCAATGCGATTATGGATCCATTCCTTGTACGCTGAAAGTCTCGTGTAAATCCCGTATCGACCCTCTTGAGCGCAACCCTCTCCCCAGCTGACAATGCCGATCTGGACCCATCGCCTGCTGCCGTCTGCCGCCCTCAGTTGTCTCATGACAGGCCCGCCTGAGTCCCCCTTGCATGCGTCCAGGTTGCCCTCTGAATAGCCAGCACAGAATGCTATGGCAGGCTTGTAGGCAGTCACAATACTACACCTAAAGTGGTCTTGTATGCTGTCCCTGCATTCTTTGTCCGTGCGCACAGGAATAGCAAGTTCCTTAAGCACCGGCGAGGTTGGTCGGTAAGTATCATCCAGACAGTCCCCTTCTAAATCATAGGGATCCGTGGCTCCCCAGCCAGCGACATATGGTTCTTTATTTGTTGAATAAAGCTCTTCATCTTCAAAGAAAAAAAAGGAACCAAGTGAGTATTTTTTCACCCTGCATTTGACTTTCACTTCGAACCATTAAATATTGTTTACTAAAGTTTGACAAGGGAATGATTGTTGAATTTTTATTTCTAAATTTCGTATTATATCTTCCAATATATTATGTATTTTATACATGTACATGTATGTCAGAGCTACGGGTAATGTTTTGGTTTGGTTTTAAAGACTAAAATGTCATGGGCAAAAGAAAAGCAAGGATGGGGCATTTGTTCATTTTTACAACTCCCATAGTGACCACTAGTTGGATAATAATCACTGGGACGGATATACTGTAATTAATACTGTAGTGTAATGCTTCTCAATAAATGCCAGACTTCATGTAAAGTTTCACGACAAATCCATCCCAGAAATGCAACACATATGCAAATGCCGTGATTGACAACCACAATCTGAAATTGGAACGGAGAAAGTTGGCAACATGTCGTAATGCCTGTGATGAGTTGCATAAATGAACAAGAGTCCCCTCACCTCCCATGTTCTCCTGGGGTAGGCAGATGGGTCTGATGTAGGGATTGAATGTGACATTCCGACTCAACCGTAGCAGGGCAATGTCGTTATCAAGTTGCCTGTTGAATGCTTCATGCATTATCAGAGCATCGTCACCATCAAGGTTGAAAACTTTGGTTGGGTCAAACTGCAGAAGTGAGTCTCTGGATTTGTCTATTATGCCTGAATGACAGATAAAGCTTTCAAGATTATTACTAGGCATAAATGTGTTTATTTTACTTGCTCATCAGTAAAGAATGTATGTACATGTACACAGAGTGCCTACACAGCATTCACACATTTTGTAGTGCTCATTTGCAGGGAGGTAATGCACTTTCTTATTTTAACACTCACATCAAAACTTAAATGTTCTTTACAGTCTCCTCATTGTAGTTAGATATGTTGGAGATACAAAAATGGTCCATACAAAAACGAAAAATCTCGTCTTCAGTCAGATGAGGGAGTGAACTGAGTACATTTCTACTGCTAGTATACAGACCTATCTGGCCAGAAGCCATTGCAGAGGTACATGTACCGTACTTATTTGCCTGCCAGGTTTTTGGCCACTTCCTACTGAGGATATGTGAGCACAGCCTTATTACATGTATCTGTACATGCATGCACAGCTGATGGGTGAAAATACCAAGCGCACCTCAACATACCTCTGGCTGACATCTAAACATGTTAGTGTGCCTTTTGTACACGTGCACAAAGTCCAAGAAGGCTGTGGAGAAGGACTTTGTGTTGAACTCGGGCTTGGCAGCTGTGCATGGCCTACTCTTGTAGCAAATATTGCTCCATGGGCATACTCCAAAGTGTTTTATACTCCAAATATATTGTTCAAGTAACTCCAGGGAAGCAGTATGAGTGGTTGCACTTGCATAAAAACGGGCCACTGCATGGTTATCTTTTTTCTTTTTTTTTTTTCAAAAGTCAAGATTTAGGCTAAAAATAACACCGTCACGTTCCAAGGGTTTTGATATGTAGCAGGAGCACGTACATGTACATATAAAGCCAATCAGCCAATGAGCATAGTTTCACCTCAGTTGTTTTAAATTTTAGTCGCTGGATTGGCTTTTCACAAATCCAATCACAATTCCTTTCACAAGACCGAGCAATAGGCAGAGGCGGATCCAAAACCAAATTTTCAGGGAACCAAATTCTGGTATTTTTTGGGCCGACAAATTGGGAAATTTGTGTTTTCCAGCCATTATGCTGGCTACATTCTGTTTTTTTTTTCCATTGTTGTTGAGCAAAGATAAATAAAATTGGCCAAAACACCATTTTTTTGTTATTTTTCCAAACAAAAGATTTGTTCGCTTTCTTTTAGGAAAGCCGTAGCTCCAGCTGCCCCCTCCCTCAGAATCCACCTTGGCAGTAAGGTGCACAGTAACAAAGGGAGGCCTTTGTCATCATTCATTTGTACAGCTTGTGATGTGGATTAGGACTTGTTATGGATGTTTGATGGATTTGACAGCCACAGTGGCCTAACAGGGGCCATGTGCCTGCCCCACGAATGCCTGTTTCCCCCCCCCCATGTCCCCCATTTGAAATCCGTGAACAACCTCTGCTGCAGCTCATTGTCTTTTGGTGCCCCATTGTGTGCACCCCAAAAGCCCCCATTCAGACTTTGTTCCACATTTGGTACTCTGTGCTTAAATGTTCACTTGCATGTGTAATTTTACCAACCTATGCTGTACATCAGTGTGGTAAATTAAGTTCAGTGTACATTTACATGTAGTTCTACATGTAGTGCAGATTTTACTTTCCTTTTTAGTCTTACCTGTGTATACTCTGATATCTTGCACATCACACGTCTTGAAGCAGTGTGCTGCGGACAGCACCCAGTTGCGAGCAATGAGGCTGCCACCGCAAAAAAAAGTGGGCTGAAAATGTGAGAACAGAATGTTAGTAGAACTGCGAAACCTACAGTCTTTGCTGTATCTGTTCTTACGGTTCAAGTTCTGTATATGTACATGTTGTACATAGTTGTACTGTCTGCAGGGTGGATGCCCGTTCGGTACATATACTGAAAACACAGTGCACACAAATGTAAATGTATGTGCATACTGTGACTAACGTGAGGAAGAGTTATCTGTGTACCTGGTGTACTTTTATCGTGACGGATGTTCGGGCACATGAACTGAAGGCAACTGAGTGCTTGCATTAGCCACAATATTTAAAATGGTCGTGCACAGCTTTGGTAGAGTCATTGTCAGTTGAGAGGTGAAGGAATGCTGCTGTCATGATCCTGCATGTGACGTGAGGATTCTTAAGAACAAGACCAAAAACAGTAGAAACAAAACCAGTTGGGAAAGTAAAAACAAGGAGACATTCCTACCACACAGTCATCACATCCTGCAATGTTCTGATCACAGAACAAAGCCACTTGCCAGGGCCAGTCACCACTCTCAGCATGTTCTCCGCCTGCTATCCTTGGCGTGACTGCGTCACTGAGTCCTTGGTTGTATCCGCATGGCGAGTAGTCTAGAAAAGCAATGAGTTTCATTTGTTGTTGGCTCTTGGCAACTGTGACAGTATTGAATCCAAACGTGGAATCATTGACCTGCATCTTTTGAGGAATCATGTTGGCTTTAAAACCCAACATACTCCCTGACAAGTCATGTTTTGTCTGTGAATGTTAGTCAGAATTCTTCAACAGAGGTGCAGTATAAGACAGGCCTAAGTAACATATGAGTAATTGACCATTTGCTAGTAAGGTATGATTGCAACCAACATCCCTGCAACAGGTGCAAAGAGGTAGAAATGTATGTATATGTACATACAGGGTATATACTGTGTGGATCATTGTGTGGAGAATTAAATCAACTAAATCAATAAATGCCTTGGCATGAAGTTTGCCTCAGAGCCAGTTCCAGGCAGGACCTGGCAATTCTAAAGGTGGGCCACTTTTGTAACTTCAGACATCGGCATTTCTTGGAAGGAGGCAGATACTACAAGTACATGTATACATGTACATGTGTACACATAACTGTCTCATACATGTACATGTGTGAAACATACATGCAAGTGATGCATCATGGCATTGTCTGTTAGTTGTGTCTGTAGAAGCTGTGAGTTTTAAGAGGTAATTATGATCAAGAAAGCAGTTCACCTCCTATCTTCTTTTCCATTCATTTGTGAAACCAACCCATAAGGTTTCTGATTTACTCGGACATTGTCAACCAGGAACCATATTGAACTCATGCAAGAGGGATTGCCAAACTTGATCCGCAGGTAATTAGACCTACATGTACCTGTACATTTTACGTGTACTGTGAAAACCTCTTGTGTAATGAAGCTTTATACACATGCAGATGTCACGAACACCTGAAAAAGAAAGCAAAAACCAAAAATTGAGCAACCTCACCTAACTTTTGTCTCGTAATAGCCTGGGCAAGAAGGTTCATTTCCCCGTGGTTCTTTATGAAGAACAGGTGCTCACTGAGAGGGTGGGATGCGATCTCTTGCAGTTCATTTCTATCTATTTCCTCACCCACTCCAATACAGTGGATTTGAACCTTGAAGCGTTCGCGAAGGGTCTCTGCCTCGTACTTGGGTAAGGCAACGTTGGCATGCATGTTTGTATTGCCTTGTTGGGAAAGAAAATTTATTGAAAATTAACCTTTCAGAAAGTTTGCTGAAGCGACACTTGTTTTAAAGATGACACGGAACATACATGTCTATGTGTGTAATTGTACTTTTCATGCTATTTTACTTTAGGGAAGAAATTTCTCAATTACTTGCTGACTGTTGAAAAAAAATACCTGTGCTGCACTTAATAAAATCAGAGAAGTAACTGACAAGTTTACCAGGTACACACTCATTTATGGAGGATTTTCCAGTGCACTTTTCAGCAGAGCTGTGAATTTTACAATCGTGTTGAAGACTGAAATTCAACCGTTCTAGAGAAGAAAGACCTCACTTACCATCTGTGAAGAGGAACAGGTATTTCTTTGCATTTGGCCTGTCATGAGCAGCTGGTATCATGGTTTCATGAACAAGCTGGAGTGCCTTGCCAGTTGCTGTTCCCCGTCCTGCAGAAAGGAAAATGCCCGGAGAAATATATTTCTTCTCTGTCTCTCCCTTTCTCTCTTGTATGTTCCCCATTCCCAAAATACATTGCAAACCTGGCAGTTGTGATAGACAATAGCTTTATTCACACTTCATGGGTCCTTGGGCACCTTAGGATATGGACCACATTTCTACAGTTGCAGCATTGTAGCACAGTATTATTTGTTACTAGAACAATTTTTAACAATAAACATTTTTAACACGGCGTTATTTAAGAACAGATCTATAATAAGCTGAAACAATTCAGTTTAATAAAAATCATTTCTTTCCACACATTTGTACAAATTGTGCATAGTCCCAAGACATAGCTCCAAAAGTACATGTAAGTGTGCCTCGGATATGTACATGCACTGCGAGATGAAAGTTAAAGTTTACAAAAGGTACCTATTTCATCTGGGCTATGTTGATCTATCAATTCGTCAATCAGGGTGAGGACAATATCCACAGATGGTTGAGGGTCGGAGACTAGAAATGATACCTGAGCCTCAGACGCAAACACACAGGCGCCATAGCGAGCACGCCGGGGACCATCAGCCCCGCCAACCTACGTGTGCATGTACAGAAGGAAAACAGAGTTGAAGTTCATTGTAATGCATGTGATATGCACTTTGCCTTTGGAAGTGATTATTTCTTCCCATGGCAGCTTGATAGATCATGTACTTTCTCACTAGACAAGCAAAGCTCGACGTCATTATATAACTGGTCCATAATTGATTACCTGCTGAAAATCACTTGAAAAAGTGTCATACAACATCATAGATTACTGTTTCATGGAGAACAGTTGCACATGTACCTCAGCCAGTGCTCCTACCCCACTATGGTTAGGGCAACGGCTGCGAAACGGTTTGAAAAGGGGGGGCAAGCCCTGGCCATTAGACTGAAAAGAATACAATAATGACATTAAAGGGGAAGGGCAAAATAACTAATTTTTCAAAGGTGGCGGAGGCAACAGCCAACCAACCCCCCCCCCTTCCTTTCCACCACCGGTGGGTAAAGGGGAAATAAACTCTGAATATCAGTCAATCATAGAAAGTAATAATGTATACTCTTTGGATTCCCCATTGCCAAAACTACAGTAGATGTTATGTGCTGGTAAGCCTATAAGTATCAATGGTTAATGTTCTATGCATGCATTTACCTTGCTTATTAAGGCTTTAGCGAGGTCCAGACTATACTGGAAGTGAGCTCTTGGAATGCTGCCAGAGGCATCGAAAACGAAGTAAATATCCATCCCTTGAGTGTACCCAAGATCAATGAACCTGCCGCTGGGGCCTGTGCTATTGTTGTCCGATATGGTAGCTTGTGGCTGGGTAATTGCAAGGCTGTCGATATTGTATCCCAGCCTTGCTGCTATCTTGAGGGTGTCTTCAAAGTCATTGGGTCCTATGGGAAGATTTGTGATTATCTGAATTGGAAATGGGTGCTTTAAAACTAGCAACATGTGCCTGAACTAACAGGAAACAGTGATGCTCATTCTCTTTGTGTTTCTGGGGTAGGAGAGTCTGTCACAACACCCAAACTCAGTGACCTGCAATTTAATTGAGCAGTTCAAACCACTTTCCTCATCAAATGACTGTATTAACGTATACAGCAAATTTCACAAATTTGGCGTAACTTCGCTCCATGCATAAGCCTTGTAACACAATTTGTGGCTTAGCTTTGTAAAATATGTGTATTTACGGTCTGTTCCATGAACAGTGGCTAAGTTGCACAATGTTTTATATATTAAACTTCTTTAATGAGGACGATTGCAACTTTTACGACAGGTGTTCTTTTCAATATACAGCAATCATGAAACAGTCATTACAAACACCTTTTTGCAAACCCTTATTAAAACTCTTCTCATACACGATATAGATACACAAAACCCAGTTTGTCTGATGCTTTCATATTAAGATTGCCAGACGCTATGTATCTAGCTTATATAATAAATTGTCTTCCTGGACATACTAGTACATGTATTCCTTAGGTGTGCTACCTTGACATGTTGGAGGTTCCCCACTCCAGCCTCCTGATTCAAGGCATTCTATCTCAGCCGTTCCAATCAACGCCTTATCTCTGTCGCATTCATAGGACACTCTTTCTCCCTTCTGGAAACGCGCCAGATGGCTATTGACCATTCGCCCGCCGATAGGAATGCCAGGGTTTGGACAGTAGAAACCTGTTGTAAGAGCAGGATAATGTTGTTTGTGTGTGGGCTGGCTTTCACTTTATAAAGGCATAAAGGGGACAGTTCCTGCTGATAAGCAAAGTAGGACCGAGCTGGGATATTTCTCTGTCCCCAACATATATCTCACAAAGTAGGTAAAACAAGGCATGTTTATCCCTACAACTACAGAACAAGTATGTGTGTACTATGAAGTGTGTAGATTTGCCTCTGTTGTTGCTGAAAATTGGGCTTCCCTCCATTACATTTTTGGCTATTTTTCTTTGACCACCAGCTCATTGACAAAGACATTGTTACGCCACATCAGCTAATAACTGCTCATAGCTGTACAGAAACCTAATCCAATCCAAAAACAATCATCCTGTGTTGTCAGGGTACTAGGCAAGAGGTGTGGCTGGTTGTTTTGTGCCCATGTTGAAAAGAGAAGCTTAATTACCATACGTGTATGCGTTCGTCTCTTCTCAACACTCAGTTGACAAGATACAGGTGCATATAAATCCATAAAATCATTGCCTCCCTCGGGCAGAAGGTAAACTGGGTGTGTTTGGGCAGTTTGATTAACTGATAATTAACTGATAATTTATTGATCACTAGTTGAGTAGCTTGGCGATCATTTGCATTCAAGGACTTTGGTCTATGTATGGTTAAGATGTAAGAAACATGTTTGGTTTCATTAATTTTGTGCCAGCGCACTGCCCTGACCTAATTGAAAATCAACAGCTAACAGTTCACAGCATCCAGCTTCTTAGATGAGTTACCATTCTTGTGTTTTTGCGCTTTGATTAACCGAGCTCATAAATGAGCACAGATGCATGGGAGATGTTTTAGTATAATTTTGACAGATCTTTTTCATCTTGATGCTGTGCAAAACTCCATGGCAGGCCCGTAGGCTGGGGGGGTTCGAGGGGTTTGAACGAACACCTCCCCTTTCGCTTCTGAGTTCCGCTTGTTGGTGGTCTTTTCTTGGGTGTGTGTACTGAATATTTTAAATTTACCATAATATTCAGCATATAAGCCACGGCTTATACGTTGATCTGAAAGCTCAAGGTGAGCAGGACTGGCTTTGTGGAATTTGCTTTTCAAGGTTACAGCTGTATTAAGTTGAAGACTTACGCTCATGGTCACATGTTGTGAGCGTTCCATTCCACTGTCCATCGGACTGGCAGTACCTAACTGCCGTTCCTTGGAGGCTGTAGCCAGACCGACAACGGAAATGAACACTTCCTCCAACTTCTGTAGACTCTAAGTACCTGCTGCCTCCAAATTGAATATAACCTGGATCTGGACATTCAATTTCTGTCAATTGAAACATACACATATTTAGGGCTTAGTAGAGAAATTGATCATTGTCAAGAAAGACTTGTTAGCTTAATTGGATCTGACAAGTCTTTCTTGCAGTCTGTGAGAATGCTGTACATGTTAGAGGTACAATCAATCATACATATATGTGATTTTTGCAAAATGACTCAGAATCTCAAGGGTGCCTAAGAACAAACTGCGTGAAGTTCCAGCTCAGTGAACACTTTGTTCCAGGAAAAACAGTGTTCTCGGATTTTGATTCCAGATCAAAAGCTGCTGAACGGTGGTTTCAACTACACCTGAATTCAACGTCTGGGACACATTCTCACGTTCAATTGAATGCAACTATACGATGTCAGACACTGCTGATCTTGCATGCGTGTGTCATGCAAATGCAAGCAGGAGTTTCTCATGGCACTTTTCCAAAAATGTGTTTCCTGTTGAAAAGGTGCATTGCTGAAAATGGCCCTCTTTCATTGTATTCTTTAAAAGTCATCTTGCCAGAAAGAGTAATTTTGAAAATGTCAAGTCAGTGCTTACTTGCTTAGATATACACTACTTTAATAATCGAAACATTACAAACGCAACCATGCTTTGATGCAGGTTAATTACTGCATGTGATGAAACTCACAAAGGTTTAGGAAAGGTATTCATTCTGCTTATTGGTGGGTTTACTGGATCTTGTAATTCATCTCATGAAGAGCTAGAGTTTACTCTTGGTCAAAAGACAACAAGCCTGGCTTTTATATTGAAGGTGCTGAGGGTAACAGCTTAGTTTCTTGGCAGGTATTATGTTGGAAAGTGATGTACTTATATGGTCCTCCAACTTTCCCTTCTACTCAGATTCTTACATCTATGGAAGAACATACCTGAGCAGATCGGATCGAGATCTGACCATGTCTGGTTGGGGAAGTAGAAGCTTGGTCCTGAACATTCTCTCCAGGTCTTGCCAAGGATGCGATAGCCTGCATCACAGCGGTAGTCCACCACCTCCCCCAACCTGTAAGTCCTGTTCTCCATATTGCTCTGCAGATGCTCGATGTCTGCTTCGCTCTCAAGAAGTGATGGACATATCACCTCTGTAAAAATATCAGTGGACAGTAATTTGAAGTCTTGTTACATACTGTACCAGTAAAAACAGATTGCAGTAAAGTTTCATTTACCTGAAAAAAATTCTGTTATGGATTATGTTGCGCACAACCTAATAAATCTTTGGCAGAATCCAGAAAATAAATGAAAAAGTAAGTAAACCGCTCGTGTAGCATTGAAGCCCCTTTGATAACTCAAACACTTACATTTTCAAGTGTTGAAATCATTGTAGCCTTAATGACCCCCCAGTTTTTTTTTATGAAATCACATACATTGTATTGTTAGATTTGGTGTAGTTAGGTTTAAACTTAATAGATATAATGAAGAGGAAATTGGAAAGAAACTGTCTATAAATGCAGCGTGTTACCATGGCAGTGCTTTGAAATATGTAGAATGTTCATATTTGATATATATATTTGATTAATAGACAACTGCATGTACTTTATGAAATGTATACTTATATGGTTGGAAGTGGCATACCACATGGGCAAGTAATACATGAAAGACAGAAACTGCTTTCTCGTCTTGTGGTGGTAACATTTGTTCGTCGCTGTCCTATTATGTGAAACCCTGATAAGGTAGAATGAAACTCACCTTGACAGGTTGGAATGGGTGGATTCCACTCTCCAGACATTCCACATGTGATTTGGATGGATTGTCCAACTGAGGAGACATAGCCTGGCCAACAGGTGATGTTGATCTTGGTGTTGGGGCTGAAGGTTTCATCATCTCGGTGGCTCCTCCTGTCCGATCGGACCAGCGTCCAGTTGGCACCGGGCAGGGCATCTGGATTCGCGCAGCTGTTCGTTGCTGCATTTTTAACATGCCCCAAGATTAAAGACAATATCAATATTTACACCATAGTGATGGGGTCCTGCAAGTCCTCGGACATGTCACAAGCCATCCAGATCCTGTACTCAAGCTTAAAAGCTATTTATTTGAAGCATTCCTTTGTCATTGTTCACCCAGTTAATTGAAGGACTTGCAACTGGGACTTATGAAAGGGCTTGAAAACAACTCCAGTGATCCTTATCGTAATTACATGATTTTATCTGGTGATAAATTGATAAATCAGTTAAGGGGTCACGTACGTGAGCAACCACAGAATGTGTAATTTTTTACTAACTTTGCAAAAAACTGCCTTTGGATTGAGATTTACTGTTGAAAGACCGTCACCTACACGAGCCCGTTGGTAGAAAGATAGGTTGGTACCTTGAAACCTATCCCCAAACTACTGCTTGGAAGCTTCTGGGATTCTAAATTACTGCATGATATGCGCAGTAACGAATTACTGATTTATATTACACTTCAACTTAACAGGGGCATCAAAGCCCAGGTGAATTAGTGGTGGATAGGTTCAGTTTTTCCTTACTCATGCTAAATCCTTCAAAATCGCAATATCTGCTTGATAAATGTATGCATTTTTAAATGATCTGGGAATTGGGAAAGCTAAGATGACGTATTTTTCCCTCAGATAAAGAGGGAACGATTTCAATATCCGGAGCGTCCATTAGCATGTTTCCAGAGTGTGGAAAAGCATTTGTCCCCCCCCCCTCCTTCGACTAACACGTTGCTCAGCACAAGGTGGTTTTCCTACATCATGTCTAAGTGAACCTATCATAGTGGATCATCACATTTAACATAATTTGGCATGGGAGGTTGCAACCCTTAAAACTGGACTCATGTATGTGAAAGAAAGGCAGATAAATGCCCTAGCAGATGTCCTTTTGGACCATTGCCAGCTCTTTGTACAAAAACTATGTGCACTTTGATTTTTGGGCTTGGATACAAATTAATTAACACACTCGTCCACGTATTACAGTGCTTTTGTCAAGTCGTCCTGAACAGGAAACAAAACTTCATGAATCCCTTACCTCTGCATTCTGTCATCCCTCCTTCCCATTTTAATCCCTGTGGAGTCCTGGAGCACCTCTTCCTGCGAGACCCGATGAGCTCGAAGCCTTCCATGCATCGGAAGATGGCTATCCCGCCAACTTGACGTCCCCGTCGGAACCTTATCTCTCTTCCGTTCCAAGGCCGCACGGGCATTGCACATCGGCTTTCTGAAATGGATTTTTTCACCAAGCCAATTAGACATCTTTCACAAACCAGTCCCTTACTTGAGGGAGAAAGAAATCCCCTGGTGTCAACTTGATGCAAACAAATGCGCCATGCTGGAAGGCCAGACCAGGTCTACTTTACAAAACATGCTCCTATCAGTGCATTTTTACGAACAAGAGTCACGAGCACTCACCTTGACATGTTGGTGATCCAGACCACTCGTCATCCTCAGTACAGTAGATAACTGACTCCCCACCTTTCAATCAAAACAAATCGTTTCATTCGGTATACGGTGAACACTGTTTCAATGACGCCATTTCATGATGTTATAATGGCATACACATTCAGTGCAGCTGCAGCTGTGCGACGGAAATTGAGGAGATAAATGGCGACCAGAGTTACCGAATTTACTGTGGGTTTTTAAAATCATATTTGAAGTATATAGCATGTTTTGTCTGTAGTATTTGTCAATGCCAAAACAGTTTTTACGTGTATTAGTCCTTTGCAGTTTAATAACTTGTTACCTTGTAATTTGTAGCCCTTCATACAGTCAAGAAAAACCAAGGAACCTCTTGGATATCGCCCGTCGGCCCCTGGCTTGGCAGAAGTACCAAACTCGTATCTCCCACCAACGATCGGTGTGGGCGCTGGGCAGCCTTTCCCGGCTGCAGTTTGACACAAGGATACATGTACGTGGCAGTGTTTAAATTCCAACGTTTCAACCCATAGGCCTACTAAACTTTTGTGAAACTGCTGTTTTGTTCAAAAATTGATTTCCATCCATATCAGTCGGGCTCAACGAATACGCAAGATTACATGCGATTTTAACATTGAAGTAGTAAGATATTTAACGACTGTTATTTATTCATGTAGTTTCTGTGTCCTATTAATAAAATGCGTTTTTGTTTGCTCACGTTTGAAACGTTTCTCAAACACTCCTCGACTCTCGCTCAGGTAAAATTCGTGAAAATGTGTGAACATTATTCGTATAGCTTTCATATTTCATTTCTTCATATGTGTATAGTCATTCAACAACAGGAATATTTGAAATTATTCAGTTTCACCAACAATGACCCTATTTTAATGGGGGACAATAAGGAAAAAATGTCAAGGACGTTTGAACTGATAGAATGAGCGCAACAAGTCGTACAAAACGATGTTGGACAGGTATTCAACGGTTTTACTTCGCTTGTCGCCCTGCGCCCGAAGAGGGCGCGGGAAGGGCTGATGGCTTTTCACTGTGATTGGCTACTTTGTGCACGACCTCCGACCGCGAGGTTATCACTTCCTACGTGTATTTGCAAAGCGTTATTTGAAGTTTCCGGTTCGCTATTGACAATGTTTTGACGCGTGCCAAAGTGTCGGCTTATATGTTAAAAACATGGCCATCATACATTTGTCTTCTTAGTATCACTGATCAAGTGTCTTTGGAGATATATTTAAAATATTGTTATCGTGATCAATTTTGGATAAACTAATAAAGTGTAGTGAGAAGATTTTCAGTAGTGAGGAAGAAAAATAATGCAAAAACATTCAATTGATATCCGCCACATTGAGCAAGCCCGCGCACCTGGCAGAAATTTACCCACAATGCTCTGCTCGTCGTTAGCTGTAACCCCGTGTGGCGTATTTCCTTCACTAAAATTTTTGCGAGGCCATCAGCCCTTCCCAGCGCCCTGTTCGGGTGCTGGGCGACATGCAAACGGTTTTACACAACTTCTTTTCCATGGGGTCGGGGAGTGTGCCAGATATTACCCTAGGGAATGAAATGCTTTTTGAAAATGGCGCCTTTCCTGTGGTGTTGCGCCCGCTGTTGTCGGTCCATATGTTTACTTAAGTATTTAAAACTGGCTTTGGTACATCAGTTCTTCGCCCGGTTGCCTTCAAAACGAATTAAAAAACAGAAAACCCTCCGATAGTAAAGACTGGACATTCTTTCCAAGAGTCGATAGTGAGGATTTTTTATTATTATTTCATTCTTGCGTTATTAATCGTCATTTTTTCATTCAAGTCTTATTGTTTAAAGATGAACGTTAAAAAGTATGCGTCATTTTGAAGTCCGATAGACGTCATTTTTAAAAAACATTTCACCTGCATCAACTTAATATCAATAGCAGTTCGTTGACGCCCTGTTAAAGACACAGAAGGTGCATCGGTTTCCCCTAAATAAATTTGTTAATTTGACTGTGAAACTTTCACCTGTATCTCCAACGCGTCTCTAGCTCTATTGCGAACCGTTTTCTGGTACTTGGTTTCATTTTGTTTCCATATAAATATAAGAAAGACAGACAAAAACGTATACCACACCGGACGCTGCATGCTTGCGTTGAAATTATGGTTAGAAAGAGGCAACAGATTGAGTAAAAAAGAAGAATTCCATGATGTGTTTTGGTTTTCCTATGGAAGTCCAAGTACATGCAGATGGAATGCCATGAAATCAAAGCAAATAGTCCATACCTGCGCAAGACGCTGCCGTGAGTAGAATCGCTAAACTGATGGCAGTCTTCGCAACGGGGTGCTTCATCTTGACCTTGCGCCCCTTTTCTTGATTCCTGACGATTGAAATGATTATTACTCTTCACGAGCTGCAGTGAGGTGACGAGAATTGTAACTCAGGAGGAGCAAACCGTGACAGAAAATCTCGAGTGTCTGTGCAACGGGCCACCAGGATACAACGGGGCTATTTGCATGTGGCACTGCTATACTGCCACACGGACTTCAACAGCGAACCAATAGGCATGGCTAACACTCGTGACGTTACTCCGTAGACACATTTGTCTTTTCCATTCGATGTTCACCTTCTGTGACCTTTCTGTACTCGTATGGGCCTACACTTCCCTAAATATAAACGCAGTGCGTAGTGTCCTCATCAGCCTGAGTGTCAAAGCGTGTAAATGGTAATAATGTATTTCTACCAACTTGATGATCCCAAATCTTCAAACGGACATGCTGTTTACCCAGAACGCTAAATGTGCAGCCGATTAGCCAGGAGAAAATGCATATGCAATTGGCCAAGGCCTACTTTCCATCGGCGCGTCGTTTTTTGTGTCCCGACTTTATCTAGTGTCGGCTCTTTGGGCAGAGTTTGGCATGCCAAACTTGAGGTGGACAAATATTGGAAACAATATACTGAAACTTAGATAAAGCAAAAAAGATATAATAAATGTAACAATAGGCCCAACAAATTGCGAGAAGAACAAAGTGGACCAAAGAGACAATAGCGACCCATGAAACAATCAGTCGGCAGATTTCAAGCATTTTTTATACAGGCATACAACATCCACTCAAACGTTTCACTTGTCGGTTACAGAGTTAGGCTATTACTTAATACACGCAATACTTTGGGCACATGGACGAATAAATAAACGGCGAGCTTTTAGGTGAAAAGTGTTTTTCAAAGCCGATGGTGTTTTTCCTGATCTGATGGTTCGTTTGGGAGCCTCAAATATACCCAGTGAGAAACGAGACGGAGGGCTACCCCCAACATTTCCAATTGCTATACACACTCTAGACTATTGTTACTTAACCACCCCCCCCCCGGCTGAAAAGAAATCCTTAGATTCCAGTGAGACAATGACCAACACAAAGTAGAGGGGGTTCTCTCGACCCGTCTCATATCTTGCCTCACATGGCCTCGAACGTCGTAGTGCGGCCATTTTCAATCCCCTTAATTGAGATCATAGACTTTTTTGTTGAAACTGTAATTTTCTTGGTTTTAATAATATTTGTTTTGAAATTGTCTTTTTCATTTAGCCCCCTTTTCTTTTGCCAGTGACTTACCAGCGACGTTTATTTCTTTTCGGGGACGATTTAGTGAGCGAGTGAATTAATTTTGGATTTTGTGCCCTGCCCAACGTGTACTACAACACTGTATACTCGGTGTTTGCCCCCGAAGGCTTGTGAAAAAAACCAGAGGTGTTATCGGGTGGGACTCGAACCCACGACCTCCTGCTTACTAGTGCAGACGTCTTAAACCAGTCGACCACCGAGCTTGCCGGTATCGAATGAAGCGAACTATTTTTCGTCTTTATTCAGTAGTGAAATGAAAGTAGCATTAGTTCTGAAATAGAAATGACGACCTTACTAACATGATCCCTTTCTAGGCTTTAGACAAGTTGAGAACATGTTCCAAAGAGATCATTTTCGTCAGGCTGCCGTCGAATATAAGGGATACCTTGAACTTTCATATCCTATTGTCCCCCCCTCTGCCAAAAAAGGGTTTCGTGGTCGCATTTCCCCCACAGTGTCAGTATACGTGCTGTCCCAACACAGCAACTTTTGTAATGCCAGTTGCCAATAGAATGTACTGTTATTGAACTCACATTTTTACTGTGCAGTTCCCCCCAACTGCAAGTTTAGTGGCATTGCGTTGGGGTAAAATCCGGGAAGTTCGTGTGACCGTTTCCCTGAACAATATAATAACGAAATAAAAGAAAAGAAAGAAAGAAACGAGGGAAAATGGATGGATGGTGTGTAAAATTGCGCCGAATTTATCGCAGTTGTGTGACGATCCTATGTATCTGCTGGTGACTTCGCACCAGTGGTGCATTCACCGGGGGGACGTACCCCCTCCCGACTTTTTGGTTTATTTTGTTTTCATTTTTTTCAACTGAGATTACTGCATAGCAGTAATGTAGTCGAGTACTTTTTG